AAGAAACACGTGAGAATAACAATATATTTAGTATAATATGCAAATTATTTAACTGTTAGCACTATGCCCAGACTTTTAATTTTCCTGGTATATTTCATTGTAGCTTATATGATGACTTAACGGATGTCATCTCTCACAAAGCAATATAAATGTCATATATTTTTAATAGTTAAAACTTTCCACTAGAGTATTTAATTGCGTGTTTAACTGTTAGCAAAGAGGATGTTGAAAAATGACTAGAAATACTCCCACACTAATAACGATTAAATAATATTATCAATAATAGGTTATACTTAACTGACCATATCTATATACATTCATATTTTTAAATTTTAGCAAGATCATTAACCGAAGTATTAAAAAAAACTACTTACAACAGTATTAATATGGCAATCCTCAATAAAAGGTGTGATATTTAAGCTTATTCATTCTCCCATGGAGAATTTAATTTTATTTTTCCTACATTAAATACACATGGACGGAATTGATTGTTTCCCGTATGGAATGGGAATTCCATTTACATCAAGGTCTTTGTATTCTATCCGATCTACACTCTCACCATTAAATTCATTTGCAATTATCACTATCAGTTCACGTTAGCGGCGTGCAGCAACTCTCAGACGCCTGATGCGCTGTAATGGCACAATTGATGATTCCTGTTTGTGAGTTAAAGAATGATTGCGCAGCATAACCAATGAAGAGAAGTATGAATGACACTTTTTACAAACCCTGTAGCTGATCACGGATTGAACAGACGGACAATACAAATCATAAGGGATTATGCGATAAGGATTTGAAGAGCGGGGGAGGATTTCATCCTTTTTTATACTTTCAGTAGCAGTAAGAGATGGACATTTATGTTTATGTGAAGAGCCATCTGTTGAACGCTCAGGTATTGTTAGTCCACAACTTGTTTGGGCGACTGGTAAAGGTGGAGGAAGAAATCTAGCAGTTATTAAGTTGAAATACGAGCTTCTTCGCTCTGAGCAACATTTACCATCTATGCATTTAACGATCTGAGTTAAATACTGGCTAGTTCTCACATGAATATCGTGCCAACTCTGATCCTTTCAGAGCAGAGAAGTTTCAGGGAGTTCAGACTCTTCTGGGTCTATGTATGCTGCCACTGTAGGAAATGTATCCACTGTCAAGTGTGACCATATTTCTGCCAAAGTGTTTCCGGCAAACTAAAAATTCTTCTTCTCAAAATCTGTGTCTATTGTGACTCCTCTTTCATCCAAATGACTGCCGTAGTGGTCATGGGGTAAAACTAATCAGTTCATTGCTACGTGGTGCCATTTTCCTTTCAACCCCATTAAATGCACTTCTTCCTGGTGCATTGGTAGCTATGAACAAACCATAATAGTTCTGATTGAGAAACTTTGATTACATTTTGATACCTAGGGTTTTCGTCTGGGCCACCATCAACCGTTCAACAATTTGATCCACACCACTCGTTGTGATATCATCAAATTCATGTAAAGTAAGTAATTTTTTCAAAAAAGTCCATGACTAAGTGTTGTGGATGAGGAATGTTTACCAGATCTGATTGATATGTATGTTGGGCCGGAGTATCCAACAGCTTCTCGATTTCCAATGGCGTTGAGCTGAATTTTTATCCCGGCATAAACTGAAGGGATCAGCTTATGTTCAGCAGCCACAACCCAGTCATGGTCAGGCAAGCTCACCATTCCGTGTGCATGAGCAATGGACTCTGTTTTTTAGCTGCTGTCAACCCAAGCGGAACGCGGGCCTTGTCATCTTGACTTATAAAGCATACCTCATTCGGTCCAAGCATGGAAGCTAACTCTTCTAGGTGATGCAGTGTTGCCGCTGTAAACAAGCGATCAATCTGATTTGCATGGTAATCGTTTTGCGCTCTTATCAGTTTTACTGGGACTGTCGATACATGTCTTTGCCCTTCAAGAGAAGAAGTACGTCTTGGCAACAGTCGAAGGTACAGCCCACTTCTACTAATTATAAACCCATCCTGTTTTAACTGATCAGTTAGCTGATCTAATGTTTTAATATTCCTGTAGACTTCGTTCTGCCTCCTCTCGTGTGATGCTGATCCATGCATAGCAATGTTTATGATAGTTTCCAATAAAGAAGATTGATCTTCTTCAATCCTTGGTCTGCCAGGATTAGATCTAGCATTCAAGGTGGCGCGTAGCCCGGGATTCTCTTCAAACAAAGCACTCAGTTTTCTTTTTATTTTGAACTTTCTGAGATTTTATTTGATCAGATATATTCCTCTTTAGCTTTTTTTCCAAATCACTCTTTTTCTGTTTCGTTTCTTTAAGCTCCATGTTCAGTTCATGCGTTAACATTCCGCGCGTTTGTAGCTCATACAAGCCGACTAGGACAGAATTCAGAATCTCAATCTCTGATTGTAAGTTTATCTGGATTGTAGCGTGCTTAGATGTTAATAGTTTGCTGGTAGAGGATTTGAAAATCACTCACGTCATGAGCATCGTTTACTTTTTCATCTGACTTGTGTGACTTATTATGTATTTCTTTTGCCAAATCATTAGATGTTTTCTTATTTAGTTTGTAGGTGTAAATACAGATGTTTGTATGACCCAAAACGTGAAAAGTTAGCCTTTTTAGCGGCAGCAATTGCTTTTAGCTCCTCCAGCCAGATTTCCGCTTTCAAGTGCAGATCTGCATCACTTTTTAGTATACTCCACTTTTCAACAACTTCTTGGCAAATTTGTTATACTCTCTTTAGGATATGCCAGCACGTAGGCATCAGCAATACATTGTAACATTTTATTTCTATCCATGATTAACAGTCGATTTTTAAGCAGAATATATGAGATTATTAGATCTACTTTTCAATTGAAAAGCCTCACACCGACAAAGTTGATTCAACAAGACACGTGTTGAACTATTCGGGTTGATCGAATAAACACGCACTACAAGCTGACCCTACACACATCCGTGCCGCAATTACAAAAATCACGTGATCTCGACTTTGGACCTGATCGAACAAGTTATTTTTTCCTCTAGATCGTTCAACCAGAATGAGCTACCGGCATGAACACCAAGATGTAAGGGGTCAAGGCGTGTCATCAAGGGCAAGAGTCTCAGCCCTAAGTGTGAACATAAGTTTTGCAAATAGCTTTTAAATAAACTATTCGAGAAACGGGGTTTAAAGTTTTATTAAGTCTGCCCTACTCTGTAAACTTCAACGAATAGCAAGCATTACACTGTTGCCCCTGCCTTACCCTCATTAGTTGACATGCTTCCGACCTCTGGTCAAATAGCACCATTGACAAATTTGCAAATACGACAGTCTACTATACAACATACATCGTCAAATTAAAGGGCAATTTATTTAAAAAGACGATATATTACACAATCTTTTGACAACTTACACAATAGTATACATTTTGTTAGAAGTATCGCAACCAATGTAAAAAATTATTTAGTATTTAGTAAGTTAATTTTTCTAAAAACTAAATTGATGTAAATCAATTCGTGGAATTAAGACATCGTGACGTCACACTGTCTCTACCCTCTCTCCTTCGTCACACATCGTCACAAAATCCTGAACCCCCTCCCCCTATCTGTGTGACGTCATTTATGGACGACCCCAAACCTATGAATTTAAATTCACAATAAATAATCACATCACACTGATTATTTAAACACGTAAGGTTTAAGATATCAGGGTTTAAATGCTTTACTTTTAAACCTGACATAAATGACGTCACACTCGTAGGGGGAGGGGGTCCGTAATTTTGTGAATGAGAGGTGTGATGAAGGGGAGGGGAGTGTTCAGATGGTGCGACGTCACACTTTTGCATTATAAAATAGCAATGTAAGAAAACGAAGTTGACGTTATTTCGCGTTTTAGAAAACTGTTTTAATAAATTGTTATAGGAATTAATTAAAATACTCTATTTTGACAGACAAGATTTTGTAAAAAATTCGATATTTAAAAAAAAATATTCAACTGCTGAGGTGTGACGTCATTTTAGGGGGGGGGGGTCTGGCTTTTTGTGACTCTGTGTGACGGAGGGGAGAGGGGAGGTGAAAATCGTCAAAAAAGCGTGACGTCATTTATGGATGACCCCCAAGACGTAATAGATGTACCACATTGGGTAATATGTCTTACATAGACAGTAACGCATTGGCCGGCCAATCCGCGCATTGGCCGCACTTCGGGCTTTGACCGTAACATATACATATGCATACATATATGTATATAAAACAGACTTTCATTAAGATGATTATATATCAATGCTGATTAAAAATTTTCTTAATTGAAATTTAGAAAAAAACTCAAATGCGCTGTTTTTTGTTTTTTTTTTGGCTGTAAGTGGAAAAAGAATATTACCCATCTATACAGAAAATGTGTGCGCAACGCTAAATCTGTACAGAGATAATACTTGAGACGAATGTTGTTATGGAGTGTATGATTATGTAGTTAACATATTATGCAGTATGTGCTTTAACTAAATATGCTATAACAAGTATGAAGTATGGTTTCTGGAGTTACCGGATTAAAGAACAAACACCATGTTTCCTCGAAACATGTTGACAAAATTAACATTATATTTCTTTAATTGTATAATAATGATGATGACTTTGGACCGGTGTTGCAGTGTTAAACACAAGTGTTTAAAGTGCTATTTGAACTACTGCGAGAGCTTACTCCATATACAGTTCTGAAAAAAAAGTCTTTCTTTCTTGACTTCGTTAATAATTTAAACTTCTGATTTCCCAATAAAATGTATGCAAAGCTGTTTTCAAATAGTTGTGACATTTAATTACTATAGACTATTAATTAATATTTAATTCATCCCTGATGTAAACAATGCAAAAAAATCATACACAAACCATGCAGTAGATTAATGCTTTTGTCGTACATTTGTCGAGGCTCTCGGATATATAATTATTACAATGCAACTTCTTTTTTTAACGAGAATAATCAAGTCCGTATTAAAACGAGTTTTCTGTTGGTTTGATGCATGAAAAGGGTGGATCAAAAGAGGGAACAATATTTTAACTAGAATGATCAAGTCAGGATTAAAACGGGTTTTCTCTTGGATCCAAGGTGCCCATATTGAGGATTCCAAAAGAAGAAGATAAAAATAAAAATCAACTGAGTGTGTTATATTTAATGTGTTGGAGCAAATGCAGAAGGTATCTCCTTTGGGTGTGGTAATGCCCCCTCCCCGCAACCTTCCTCCCTACAGTGGACGCCAAACGCCCTTCCCCTTGACGACATAGGCAACAATATATACTTTAAATTTAAAATATATTCTATTATTTTAGCTAGTGTCTGCCTAACACTTTCGAGTATTTAAATCAGCCTCAAATAAAGGAGATGAAGAGCAGCGACCTTTTCGCCACATTTAAAAATATTAAAACCATGATATAGAGAAGTTAAAAGAAAGAAAGAAAAATTACCTACCTATGACTTCTAATTGACAATAATCGATCAATAAGCCCTGATCAGTTGAGCACGTCAGGTTTAGCATCTCTTGATTTACGTGGTTAACTTTCAAATCGGACCAGACGGAATAGCCGAACCATGGGGCACCGTCCCACAACATACAAAAGGCTCTGAAGTTGTTTTCTAAGCAAATATGTTTTTTTTTAATGAGTACATTTTAATTGTTGCAGTGTTCTCAATATGTGTATTTTTTTGTTCAATGGTTATGTATTTGAAACATATTATGTTTTAAAGACGACTCTCAATAACATGATTATCCACTGATATGTGCACTGTTATGTCAAGGTATGATAACAAACCTAAGTTTGTGTTATATTAACAATGTAAAAAAAACTGAATGCATCAATGAAAATATTATCTAAAGAATATTTAAAAATTAATTCAGATTTAACTGCCTAATTTTGTGTGCATTCTAAAAAAAAAAAAACTTACACAACAGTACAGAATATGTATTCACAACGTGAAATTTGTTTGGAGATAATAATAAGGTCGACTTGTATGGAAAAAAAATCCTAGCGTAATATAAAAATATAACGTTACCCGGATTGTCATATATATCGTTTTCCCATCTGTAATTACAACTACATATGTCTATATTTGATCCATTTGCGGTTGTTAAAGTCCATTTGAGAGTCCTGTCTAGAGCATATTTTAACATTTTTGTTCTTGTTCTACATTTAAAAGGGTCTCCAGCTTTCACAGTATAATTTTCTGCATCACTAAAATGTGCTGTTTAATAAAATAGTGTAAGAAAATAAAATGAGGTTTAAATGCCCTTTTCGAAATATTTTACTAAAGCACCTATTCTAAAATATTGTATCAGTTTATATGTATTATGTATATATATATATATATATATATATATATATATATATATATATATATATATTTATATATATAAATATATATATATATATATATATATATATATATATATATATATATATATATATATATATATATATATATATATATATGAATATATATATATCGATGGTCTCGGTCGCAAACCGTCTAACTCAAAAAAATTCGATTTTCTTTTTTTTACATAAATTAAAAGCCAATATGATTCCCCATAATGCCTGAAAATATTAGAGAAATCAGTAGAAAGATTATTGAGATATAATCATTTGAACAAACCGCCTATTATTTCTAGCGCTAAAAATCTCGGCGCAAAACGAATATCGCTATATTTGTCAGTACACTTTTGATCAGGAACGCAGTCGCACGCCGCAATCACACAATTTTACAGCACAGCAGTCACAGTGCTTATAGGTAAGGATATTTGATTAGTTATTTTTAACTATACTATTACATTTTATCATTTTAAAGAATAATAAACAAATAGTATTTGTTTAATATAGCCTATTTCCAGATTGTCAATAACCAAACTGATTTGTTTACAATTTTTTTTTAGGCTAACACAATGCTTTGAAACTAGATCTTTATTCTAGAATCTAAATATCAATCAAAACATTATAATTCGAATTATATTTCCACAAGAATGTGCAATAAATTTAATAATTGTTAATTCACTACTAGCTTTAGATTGAGGGTTTAGGTACGTGTTCAGAAATGTTTATATGATAGGTTACAAAATGTTTGGCGTACATGTTCAACGACATGGTTAGTTGTCTTTAGTAAATGCTTTTATGATTAATTTTTCAACAGACAAGCCTATCTCAACAAACCAGCCTCTCTCAACATACCAGCCTCACTCGACAGACCAGCCTCTCTCAACAGACCAGATTCTCTCAACATACCAGCCTCTCTTAACAGATCAGTCTCTCTTAACAGATCAGCCTCTCTCAACAGATCTGCCTCTCTCAACAGACCAGCCTCTCTCAACATACCAGCCTCTCACAACCGATCAGCATCTCTCAAAAGACCAACCTCTCAACAGACCAGCCTCTCTCAACAGACCAGATTCTCTCAACATACCAGCCTCTCTCAACACACCAGTCTTACCACATAACAGACCAGCCTCTCTCAACAGACCAGTCTTACCACATAACAGACCAGCCTCTCTCAACAGACCAGATTCTCTCAACATACCAGCCTCTCTCAACACACCAGTCTTACCACATAACAGACCAGCCTCTCTCAACAGACCAGCCTCTCAACATATCAGCCTCTCAACATATCAGCCTCTCTCAACAGACCAGCCTCTCTTAACAGACCAGCCTCTCTTAACAGATCAGCCTCTCTCGACAGACCAGCCTCTCCCAACAGACCAGTCTCTCTTAACAGATCAGCTTCTCTTAACATACCAGCCTCTCTTAACAGATCAGCCTCTCTTAACAGACCAGCCTCTCTCAACAGATCAGCCTCTCTCAACAGACCAGCCTCTCTCAACAAACCAGCCTCTCTTAACAGATCAGCCTCTCTTAACAGATCAGCCTCTCTTAACAGACCAGCCTCTCTCAACATACCAGCCTCTCTTAACAGATCAGCCTCTCTTAACAGACCAGCCTCTCTCAACAGACCAGCCTCTCTCAACCGACCAGCCTCTCTTAACAGATCAGCCTCTCTCAACAGACCAGCCTCTCGACATACTATTCTCTCTCAACAGATTAGCCTCTCTCAAAAGACTAGCCTCTCTCAACATATCAGTCTCTTTCAACAGACCAGCCTCTCTCAACAGACCAGCCTCTCTCAACAGACCAGCCTCTCTCAACATACCAGCCTCTCACAACCGATCAGCATCTCTCAAAAGACCAACCTCTCAACAGACCAGCCTCTCTCAACAGACCAGATTCTCTCAACATACCAGCCTCTCTCAACACACCAGTCTTACCACATAACAGACCAGCCTCTCTCAACAGACCAGTCTTACCACATAACAGACCAGCCTCTCTCAACAGACCAGATTCTCTCAACATACCAGCCTCTCTCAACACACCAGTCTTACCACATAACAGACCAGCCTCTCTCAACAGACCAGCCTCTCAACATATCAGCCTCTCAACATATCAGCCTCTCTCAACAGACCAGCCTCTCTCAACAGACCAGCCTCTCTTAACAGATCAGCCTCTCTCGACAGACCAGCCTCTCCCAACAGACCAGTCTCTCTTAACAGATCAGCTTCTCTTAACATACCAGCCTCTCTTAACAGATCAGCCTCTCTTAACAGACCAGCCTCTCTCAACAGATCAGCCTCTCTCAACAGACCAGCCTCTCTCAACAAACCAGCCTCTCTTAACAGATCAGCCTCTCTTAACAGATCAGCCTCTCTTAACAGACCAGCCTCTCTCAACATACCAGCCTCTCTTAACAGATCAGCCTCTCTTAACAGACCAGCCTCTCTCAACAGACCAGCCTCTCTCAACCGACCAGCCTCTCTTAACAGATCAGCCTCTCTCAACAGACCAGCCTCTCGACATACTATTCTCTCTCAACAGATTAGCCTCTCTCAAAAGACTAGCCTCTCTCAACATATCAGTCTCTTTCAACAGACCAGCCTCTCTCAACAGACCAGCCTCTCTCAACAGACCAGCCTCTCTCAACATACCAGCCTCTCTTAATAGATCAGCTTCTCTTAACATACCAGACTCTCTCAACATATCAGCCTCTCTCAACAGACCAGCCTCTCAACATATTCGTCTCTCTCAACAGACCAGTCTTACCATACAAGACACCAGCATCTGTCAACTGACAAATCGTAAAGGCACCAGCATCTCTCAACAGACCAGTCGTAACATTAAGGCACCAGTAACTCACAAGAGACCAGTCTCTCTCAGCAGATCAGTCGTAATATACAAAACACCAATCTCTCTCAACTGACCAATCTTACCCTCCAAGATACCAGCCTCTCTCAACAGACCATTCTTACCATACAAGAGACCAGCCTCTCTCAAAAGATTAGTCTTATCCTACAATAGACAAGCCTCTCTCAACACACCAGTCTTACCATACAAGACACCAGCCTTTCTCAACAGATCAGTCGTAACATACAATAGAACAGCCTCACATAACAGACATTAGACACCAACCTCTCTCAAAAAGACCAGTCTTACCATACAAGAGACCAGCCGATCTCAAAAGACCAGTCAGACCTATCAGAATTCAAAGCGACAGATATTTGTGCACTGCAGTACAAGCCTGATGCTACTGTCTACTTCAAAGTGATGATTTCCCTGATTTTAAAAATATGTTGCCATTTTAATTTTTCTTTATGTGACGTTTATTCAAAGAATAAATTTTAAAAATAAACACATTTTTATGTGTAACATTTTTGTAAAATAAGTAAACAATAAGCCATTATTATTGTGATTAATATGTTATGTCTCATTCATAATATATCTGACAATAAGGTTTCTGTTTTTACTATTATCATTCTATAAACCCAGCACCCACCAGATTTAGTAAAATAAACTGTGAGAATAGAAAGTTGTAATAAATAACCTTCAACAGTTAAAGTCTAGTGCTAAATACAGACATAATGAATACAGTCGAAAGCAATAAAGCCATACTAAAACATCTTTACTAAAAATTAAACTGACCCCATAATGTAGAATAAACTCAAATAATTTAAATATGAGCCCAAAACTATAATCTAATATTATGAAGTGTTAATTATAACTTAAAAACATAAACATAACTAAATCACGTTCATTGGACAAAACGAACGAACGCGGCTGAGACCGAAATTCTCGGCTCAAAACAGCTAAGTCTGCGCGCGCACAGAGAGACGGTTTGCACCGAGAGTTTTAGACCGAGCAAACCTTCTATCTTTTTAAAACTGCTATAATTTTGTAAATATCAACAAAACCCATTTTAAAACGCTACAGTATAGTCGGTAGAGAGTTTCTTCGGAGATATCTTTAAAAAAAATTAGTATTAGAACGAACGAGAAGGAAATAATCAGTTTTTTGTCTCTCCTGTAAAATTTACATTTTCGGAGTTAGACGGTTTGCGACCGAGACCATCGATATATATATATATATATATATATATATATATATATATATATATATATATATATATATATATATATATATATATATATATATTCATATAATTACACACACACACACACACATATATATATATATATATATATATATATATATATATATATATATTTATGAATATATATATATATATATATATATATATATATATATATATATATATATATATATATATATTCATATAATTACACACACACACACACACATATATATATATATATATATATATATATATATATATATATATATATATATATATATATATATATATATATATATATATATATATATATATATATATATATATATATATATATATATGCAAATATGTATATGTATAGCTTTTTAGGGTTCTTTAAATAACTAAAAACAAGTTAATAAAAAGTCTAGTGACAAATTTAAGCGCAATTTATTAGTAAATAAAATAGTGTAAGAAAATGAAATGAGGTTTAAATGCCCTTTTCGAAATATTTTACTAAAGCACCTATTCTAAAATATTGTATCAGTTTATATGTATCATGTGTATATATATATATACATATATATATATATACATATATATATATATATATATATATATATATATATATATATATATATATATATATATATATATGAATATATATATATATATATATATATATATATATATATATATATATATATATATATATATATATTCATATAATTACATATATATATATATATATATATATATATATATATGCAAATATGTATATGTATAGCTTTTTAGGGTTCTTTAAATAACTAAAAACAAGTTTATAAAAAGTCTAGTGACATTTTTAAGCGCAATTTCTTTGTGTAATCTAAAAATAGATAGTGATCAAGTTTGTTTTTAAAAAAATGTGAAAAGATGATTAGGCCTAGCGAAACAAAACCTTGTAATTGTAACTCCCTATCACTCTCATATAAATTATAAATAAATTAATAGGTTAGAAAAATAACGTTTGAATTAATAAGTAAAAAATAAACTTATAGCAAGATCTAAAAGACAGCGAAAAATAGATTATTTTGACACATCCCTTTCCCCATAGATCTATATCTATATATTGCTATATAGTACTGTAGTGTATTATGTTCATAACCCGTAGCTCTGTCGTAGCGTTAAGCACACACGAGGACAAAACACAAGACGTATAATGCTGGGGTGCATTCAAGCTAGGAGAACGATCGGTTTGTAGGTGTATATGTAATTAAAAAAAAAAATTGTGACCGAACGAAAGGATATTTTTGAAAACTTTCTTCGGCAGTATTGTTTTAAATTATAGCAGAGATCGATTGGTAAATGTTTCAAGTCGCTAAGTTGTCTGGTTGCCGAGATATGGGCAAAAAACTGCATTTTTTCGAGGTTTTTTGGCTTTTCCGGGAAATCCAGGAAGGAATTCCGGGAATTTTTTGGGCCCACAATCATCCTCGGAACTTGCTTAACATATCTACTCTTGGAACTAGTCCTTGATATTACTTCGTTGGGGAGGAGATACGACTTAAAGCTGGGGACACACATCCATCCAGAAATGACGAGTTAATAATCGCAATTCCTGTAAGGAAATTGCGCTAAAAACTACCTAATCTGTGAGCTAAATTAAAGTAATGAAGTAAAAAATTTACCTAAGTAGCTTACGAGACTAATAATCAAAACATTAAGCTCCATGTGGAAGGGTCTTGCCACTCGACGTAAAATCCTAACACAAAAATACAACGGATAAATCGTATATATTAAAACATGTTTGCTAGGTTTTCTTTAGCACATTTGTCATTCAAAGGGCACATCGAAATTAAAATTGGTATTATTAAAGAATAGTCTGTAGTTGGTTGATTAAACTTTAAAAAGTTAAATGTTACAAAAAATAATTATTACCAGTAAAGTTTGGTTTATGTATACTAAAAATGCCAAAGTAAAAGTACCTAGAAAGTGTTTATAAAAATTAAACGCAACAATTATTTGAGATATATCTTAAATAGAAAAACACTTTTTAAACAAAAAAAAAACAACATGTAATTCTTTTTTTTAAAGATATAACAATTAAAAAAAATATAACATATTGGATTACTATTACTCGTAATTAAATGCGTTGCAATAAAATATTATAAAACTTACAATTGACTAAAAACATTCATATAATAAATAACATAATTAAAATCGAATTATTCCGTGCATAACCACTTACCAATTATTAACTTGTCTAACACGTAGACTGGGTAACTATGACACTCCCAATCAGGTATGTGTGATTTCAGTAGCTTGCCTTGCTTCTATACGTTTAATCGTTAGACGTCAATAACGCTATTTGTATGATCTTAACATATAGCATTACAAGTTCACCCAACCGTTTACGTGCCCGAATTCCTTACTAGCGTGTATGGTGGTAGATATACGTGCCTATATTTATGTACTTGGTTATGTTTAGATGTTGTCGTGTTTATACAATAGGTCGTATGGGTGTGTAAGTGTAAAATATAGAAATGCGTGAAATAGCAAGAAAATAAAACTCTATTAATTTCCCACCCTTTTTATCAGGTGACATTGATCTATGTAAGTTAAAGGGGAATAACCGCCTTCATGTTGTTCCTAGTCTAACCTGGTTCTGCTACACGTCTGGTAAAGACTACACTAGTCTTTTGCCTCAGCATGAAAAAAAAAAAACAACAATCTAGTGCAGCGTGTAGAGTCGTCGTGAATTATGTAAAAATGTGTTTCCTACCCATACACGAACACACACACACACACACAAATATATATATATATATATATATATATATATATATATATATATATATATATACATATATATATACATATATATATATATACATATATATATACATATATATATACATATATATATATATATATATATATATATATATATATATATATATATATATATATATAGGCCTATTTATATATTGTAGTGAACAAGTGAAGAGGGATGAATGGGGGTGAATGTTGTTGTTACTTGGTACCCTATCCCGCGCGTCCTTATTTAGTTCTCGTGCGGGAGTTGTAGTAGTCCAATTTGTACCAGTTTATGAAAGGGTATATAAGGTGTATGAAAACGTGTGTGATTGCCTCAGTTTTGTCCAGATCTCCAAGGTTAGTATAGGTTGGGTCTATACTAGTTTTTAGCCACTGTATCATAGTTTTACTATCTAGTGTATTTTGTGTTTAGAATAGACTGTGTTAGGTGTGTATAGTGTAGATACTATTAAATTCTGTTAGTTTCAACGAGCCTTTGTTTCATTCAAGCTTGTTTTGTAACCCGTTTGTGGTTGTTTGTCTTGTATGTTGCGCTACGCATCGGATCACCGAAAGGCGTGTACGTGTGTTCACAACACACACACACACACACACACACACACACACACATATATATATATATATATATATATATATATATATATATATATATATATTTAGTACATATATGTACAGATGCAGATACAAAGATAAACAGACACAGATACAATTATACTCATCTTCCGATTTATGATAAGCCAATAACTTGAGCACTGTTTATGTTAGGCTGACGCAAGTTCATATATCAGTAATACATTGTATGTACATGTTACAGTCAAAATTTTAACGATTTCCGGTAAACGTACATAGTATTTTACTCTATTTACGTAGCAAAACTATAGCGTATGCACTGTTTGATGTAGTTATATTAAGTTTCGTATACAGCTACAAGATCTTATACTTAGATTACAAAATGTCAATGTGAATACTTCAATGTAATGCAATAGTAAATTACTTTTCCATAATCAACCGCAACCCCTTATTTTAAATAACATTATTAGAAATAATTTCCAACTCCATTCCACTCCACACACCCACAGCCTTACAAACAACGTTAAGTACAACATTACATTTGTCTTGTATTAACATTGTGTAAACACAAAAACTCATGTTATGTCAACGTTTTTATTCAAATGAGGGCATACGGATTAAAGTAAAACTCAACACATACATATTTAGTGTTAAATACATTATACAATAACATAGAACCGCTCCATTAAACATTTGAATTATTTTATTAAATTATACGATAACGTAGACCCGTTCCCTTAAACATTCCAACATTTTATTAAATTATTTGATAACATAGATAACTTACCTTCTTACCTTAATTAAACATTCCAACACTTTATTAAAGTATCGATAACATAGACCCATTCCATTAAATATTCCAACACTTTATAAATTATACAGTAATATAGATAAGTTTCATTAAACATTCCAACATTTTATTAAATTATACGATAAGATACATTGATCAGTTACATCAAACATTCCAACATTTTATTAAATTATTTGTTAACAAAGATAACTTAATTTATATTAAATTATACGATAACATAGAACAATTACCTTAAGCGTATTACCCTACAGTTATATTTAAAACGTAATTGTAATCTCACTGTTCTGTATACTATCTCATTTGCGACTAAATCATTGAGATGAGGTACGTTGGGGGAAAGAGAAGATCAGGTAATAGCCCAATCGTGCAATGTGTGGTACTGATGGGTTGTATAGATACAGTAAGGGACGTGAGACATAGTGTTATGGTCAAAGTTGATAAAACCGTCTCTGTGATTCGTTGGCTGATGAGACTATTTGGAGAATACTATTTGGAGTGTAGACTATACAGTTCTATAGGGCGGAGGGTGAGACTATTTGGAGAATACTATTCGGAGTGTGAGGCTTTACAGTTGTATCGGGTAAAGGGTGAGTTCATTGGATAAATGTGGTGGTCCGGATAGACATACATATAGTATGTGTATGAGTGTTTGTTTTCACAATAGCTTAAAGAACACTTTTGTAATAAAATCGTGGGTCCAGTTTTTTTAATAGTGTTCTATAATTACAATTATATAATTCTATAATAAATACCTCATTACATAACATGTAATCTGGTGTGAATTATCTGCTACAACAGTTTTGTGTTTACATGGTTCTAGAGCTATTCTGTCGGTACAGTTGATTTAACAGTTAGGACACACATGTGGAGCAGCGTTTGTATGTGTTGTTGTTAGATCTTGCTGGGCGTGGTACTGTGACGTTGTTTGACGTCAAGGGTACAGACTTGTGTAGGATGGCGGGTCATAATCAGGCACGGTCATGCTGGTCCGTGTATCTCTTTGATTCCAGTTGGACGTTTGATAAACTGGACGAACGGATGAGTCTAGTCGAGATGGTGCGTGATGATACGTAGTATTCGAGGCGCTCGGAATCGAACCTGTTATTGAAGCCGTGTTAGTGTTGTTAATAACCTGAACTCTCTGATTCAAATTTGACGAAGTGTGAGCAGGACGAACGGATTTGTTTCGACTAGACTTTGTGTGTCGAGCTGGGGTATTCGAGGAGACTGGATGAGAACTGGGAATATGAATTGTGTTTGAATTAGTCATGACATGATTCTCTGTTTGATGGGAAGGTACTGGTACAGTGAAGATGGAGTCACGGTTATTCAAGGTGTGTGAATTAGATCTTCCAGACCTCGTTCTTTGGAGTCGGATATGTTTGCGATAGGCAAATGCTATTATTATTGCTAAAATGGAGATCACTACTACCAAAGGGAAAACTAATTTTAGGAGAAAAGAGGAATCGTTTGTTTCCGCTGTGGAAAAACGTAAAACATTAAATTGTTGTTATGTTGTATCATTCTTTTATTAGTTTATGTAGGTGTTAGTATTAGTTCCTGATGTAATGTATTTCGTTACTTATTTATAATTCATATCTAGCTTTAAATATATTAATTTAAAAAAAAATTCTTCAAGTCTCAAAATGCTTTGCATTGTTTCTTACCATGCGAAGTAAATAATGGTATACATATTAAATTAATGTTTGCTGGATAAAATCTGGATAATCTCTTCAGTATATTTTTTTATAATATCTTATCACAACCTACTTGGTTGCCATGCAAGTATTGGACACAACATTACCTCCAAATGAAAAACTGCATACAACAATTTGAGTCTTTGGTTGTTGATGAAAGCCATACAAACATGTTAAATTTTGCATGACTTTTGTTAGGTGTTCTATATTCATTGTGATGGACATATCAGCAGAACGGTAATAACTGTTGTAATCTTTAACTCGAAGTAACGCCTGAAAGTTGGCTGAAAATATCAAGCTTTCTTTTGTTATAAGCATGTATTTATATATAGACACATAGTCACTTTGACAGACGCAAAAACACAAACAACAACACATAGACGCACACACGCACGTAGGCATACGGTCAGATAGACACACAGACACAAAACACACTGATAGTTATACACAAAACACACAGACACACATACACGTATGCACACACATGCAGACATACACATACAGTAACACCCAAACTCAAATACACGAAAACACACAAGAACACAGCCTAATACAGTCACATAAATATACGTTACAATATATATTTTAATGTGTAACAATTGTACATGGCAAAACTGAATTGCTTTAATTTAGGACCTTATTTCAGAAGTAAGCAGAAACACAGTACACTATCTTACTTTGATCGTAGTTTACTTGACAGGTATAAGATTCATCGCATTCGGCAATGCTTATTGTTGTTCCATTAATTGTTATTAAGTTCCATCGAATGCTCGAAAATAATGCTTTGTTTAGATCCATTTCACACAAAAATGGGTCTCCTTCGTTAACTTAAAACGTCTTTGCTTGACACAAAAGCACTGGGAAAAAATAACGTTTGAAAAAAATAATTCATAAATATATATATATATATATATATATATATATATATATATATATATATATATATATATATATATATATATATATGTGTGTGTGTGTGTGTGTGTGTGTGTGTGTGTTTTAATTAGGTCCTCAATGGAGAAAGAAGTATGCTCTAAAAGTTGAGGATGGACTACTATTTAATCTTAGAATATATTATCCAATAAAATAGTAATTATTATTACCAATGCAGCTATGCAGCCATACAAAGAAAACAATGCGTGCCATGGCTGCTGCCATAGATTAAGGTGGTGAACTGCTAAAAGATTAAATTAATGTCTATTAACATCATTGGTCGTGTGGAGATGATGAATAGAACAAAACAGTCGCTGCTTTTCCGTTTCGTATACTTGAAGTGTGCTCTTGGTAAATTGATTTAATCTTAATTTAACAATTTAATTAACATAAGTCAAATTTACATTGATGTGAATGTGAATGTATGATTATTTATTTATAAACAAATTTAGAAAATTTCTTTATAGTGTGTTTTATATCTAGAAAATTAAATCATTGTATACTAACAACAATTATAATTTACTAAGTATATGATATATTTCTTCAATTCTTTCTCTTTAATCTTTTAAGTAAATATATAACCACAGCGGTTCCAGTGGCAATTGTGTGCTTACTTAACCTATAAAACCGTAGTTAAGTACAGCCAACCGTGACAGCGTTTACAAGACATACGTGGAGATCAAGTTCGGTACGTTCTATTGTACTTCCTTGTTGATGTGTTGTTTCTGTGTGTGTTGTGTTTTGTTAATCAGAAAATATTTTATACTTAAAAGAGTAACAAATAAAGCGGGTGCGATCTCCCCTAAACTTTCTCAAACATTCTTGTATAATGCATTTTTTTTGAGAAATCGGAAATAGCGTAAATTACAACTTCGTGAACGATAATTACTCATTTCATTTATCTATCTCAAACAGTACTAAAGTTATAGGCTTTAAAAAAATAAATGTAGAATAAGTTCATTTTCTGGTTATCGGAACTCGCTTAAAGTTGATTCAGAACTACAAATTTGATATAATTCTTATAGATGAAATGTCATCAACCTAGCTGTAATGGTACTCAAGTTATCGTGTTACAGACATACACACAGACACACAGACACTAAAATACGGACAAAATTGCAATACTATGTTCTTCCGAATGAGGGAGGTTTTAAAACATCGAGTTTTGTGAAAATCTCGATTTCGATTTTTTGCACGATTACAATACTTCCTCTATACTTCGTTTACGAGAAAGTAAAACATGAGGAAAAAATGTGTTCTTGTTTATAGAATCAAACTGTGTTTTTAATCAAGAAATATAACACATCAAGACAAGTCGTCAATGATTTAAATATGAGATATAAAAGACTCCCTTGCGTCTTCTACACTATATTTGATTCGGATTTTAAAAGCTGTGTAAACAATTTTAATGTAGACAATTGAAGCCTGGCATATTATGATCTCAATTCTAAACAGACAAATATTTTTCACATAATCGATGTTTAGGTTATTATTTTTTTTTACTTTCTTTATTAAGTATAATCACGTCTCTTTGTGACTAGCCCGTTTTTTTTTAAATTGAGTAACACTCAGTTCTTATGTGTGTATTTTTGTTTCGTTTTTATCTCGTTTTTATTTTCTAATTGTTGTTGATAAATGTGTGAATGATAAATCAAGCATTGTGAAAGTAAACTACACTAAAATACAAAAAAATAAAACCTGATAGAAAAATACAGTCTTTTCTACCGACTACACATAGTAATAAAAAGTAACTAAGGGTCGATTGCTAAAAATACAATATTGAAAATTAAGTTTTAAATTGAGCTCATAATGTTATTTTTATTGAACAACTTTTAAAACTCTGATAAAATCTAGCTTGCCGTATGAATATAAACTAGACACCAAATAAAACTTAATTTTAAAACTGTCTTTTATTTTAACATGAAGATGACTTACCTGTATCTATCCCGACTCTCTGAACTACACAACTTTCCGCAAGATTTGCTGTTATGATCTTGCAAGTAAAGAGTAGCACACAATAACTGTGTTTTGCTTTAACATTGAGATGACTTACGTGTATCTATCCCGACTACCCCGTCTCTCTGAACTAAACAGCTTTCCGCAAGCTTTGCTGTTACGATATTGTAGGTAGAGACGGAGTGATGCGTTTCTATTCTATAATTAAACTATACAAACTTGTGTGACGGTCACGGGTTGATGAATATAGCGGGGTCGTGTGTAGTGATGTAATGATCGTTTGTGGAGGTGTAAGGGTAGATTGTAGTGACGTAAGGATTATGTGTAGTGATGTAATGATCGTTTGTAGAGAGGTAATGGTAGATTGTAGTGATGTAAGGGTAGTGTGTAGTTATGTAAGGAGAGCTTTATAGCTATGAAAGTTTAAGGAGCAAATGCAGTTATGCGAAGATAATTTGTAGCTATGTTAGAGTCGTTTGTAGTTATGTAAATGCCATTGTAGTTAAGTAAGGATCATGCGTAGTAATTTAAAAGTCGTCTGAACTATTTTAATAAATTATTCTATTTTGGTTATGTAAGTGTAGCATTAGCTTTTTATGGGTAATTTGTATTGTAACGAAGTTTTTATGACCGTTTTCATTGAATTTTTTTATCATTGAACAACGTGATTCTCTTATATTAAGTTTGTATATTAAGCAAATATATACAAATTATTTTATAAGTATTTTCCATCATCATACACAATGCATCTCAATAACTTGAATATTTTTAAAACAATTTTATTATTTTTTTCTTATATTATCTTACACACAAATCTCAGTATTTAGCAAATCTGGCTTTCCGTAAGTTATTGTATTATGAAATTCAAGAGTACGTTGGTGCTGCTCTTTGGTCGGCACGGGTTGCATGCTATTTAATCAAACATTTGGAGGACGATCGTTTGCTGACGACGTGTTGTGGTATGTAGTGGTGTAGGTTGATGTGGTACCATAACATGGAGGGATGTCGGTTAATGACGTGCTGTGGTATGGAGGTGGGTTGGTGGGATAGAGGCTTGTGTAGGACGGTGGATCCAGGCTTGATGGGGTTAGTTCCATTTTCGGATGTACCTGGTGCAGGGTTGACGTTTGCTCAATAGTAAAAACAGAGGCGTTTAGCTGTGACGTATTGTGGCCTTGAGCGACCTGGCGGTGTGAGGTTGTGTGACGTGTAGTGGCATTGCGGTGTGACGTTGTGTGACGTGGAGTGGCATTGCGGTGTGACGTTGTGTGACGTGGAGTGGCATTGCGGTGTGACGTTGTGTGACGTGGAGTGGCATTGCGGTGTGACGTTGTGTGGCGTGGAGTGGCATTGCGGTGTGACGTTGTGTGACGTGGAGTGGCATTGCGGTGTGACGTTGTGTGGCGTGGAGTGGCATTGCGATGTGCCGAATACCGTAGAGAAATATCTTGACGTTGGCTTACGTTTTGTAATGACGTTGTGTGACGTGGAGTGACGTCAGATGGAATGACTCTTAAATCGGACGGTTGGTCCAGATGACTTTGGCTCAAATCACTTGTCTGTTGCGAGTTTCGTTGTACAGCTGAAAGAGTATTGTTTTCTCCTATGTCTACAGTCTCTGTACATCTATTTACTTGGCGGTTCCGTTGTTGTTTTTTATAACAGTAACATCTGACACACATAAACACAAACATTCACAAAACCGCGGTTCCAGAAATAACAGAGGGGATTATTTTATGGTAAACTGGAATGTTTATCACGAAACCATTTTGTTCTGTTGGTTTCCGTGTCGTAGGCGCCGCTGAAAAAAAGACGTATTATTTTAATTCAAATTCATAAATATTCTGTTTAGTTCACTTAATCCAGTGTCGTCGCTAGAGGTATATCTAGGGTTGGGTGGGTGGGGCATCCACCCCTGTCGTCAAAACGTTTGAGCAAAATTTTATGCCACGTTACTGAATTATTTATAACACAGCTATTGTTTGTTACCTTACAAAATAAAGACTGATACTATCGACTTTTCGACCCAAGGTCTTCGTCAGCACACAACAGTGTGGTTAAGGACTACACACGCAAAAAGACTGTGACATTATTTTCCATTCCCTCATACAGGCTTTCATAAAGAAAGAAACGAGGACACTATCAAAATTTTAATATGGTATGGTGGGGGGGGGGGGGGTCACTTAAAATTTTCCCGGGCCTTTTGGACATAGCCAGGCCAACCCTGCATTATACATATGTTCTATTTATACGTATTAAACATGCATTTGATGCAGTAAACAATAATTGGTAGTAAGAAAAAATAGCTTTTTTTTACCCATAAATTGACATTTCTATTTCATTCTACAAACAAGTTACGAAACAGTAAAACAAATAATGTATACTACTGCAAACACAATATAGAGATAATGACATAAAATGGAAACATTAAATAAATGGACACAATTAATTTAGGGCCATCTTACAAAGAAAAAGCATTTTACCTAGAACTACAAATTCACAGTAATGGATCATAAGTCTCTCATCAATTAAACATGTTAGGTTTAATATATCTGAGTTGAAACGCTTTACTTTCATGGAGAAGAACACGTAAATCCCTCCGCTCCATGTTAGGGAATCTCTCCACCATATACAAGAGGCTTCGAAGTTGTTGTCTAAATAGAATTGTAATATAACCTAATAAACACATGCTAGTTCTTGCAGTTTAATCACATTTTTTATGCAATAGATCTTTATGTTAAACCAATTAGGTTTTAAAGCCGACTAACAATAAAATGACAAGGCATCTAGGGTTACATTGTCCATCTGACAATATATTTTGACACCTCTATAGCTGTTTTACATTCGAATGGGTCACCCACTGTCACAGTGTAATTCATTCCATCACACAACTGTACTGTTTAAGATAAATATTGTAAGAAAAAGACATGAGATTAAATTGGATATTTCGAGATGTATCATACAAGCAGCGATTTCAACACATATTATCATTATATATATATATATATATATATATATATATATATATATATATATATATATATATATATATATATATATATATATATATATATATATATAACGGCTGGCTTAAGCAATGCACTTGTGTTAAAATTAAATCATGGAATGTTAAAAGTTAAAATACCTAAGCAGCTTACGATACTAAGAAAGAAAACCTTGAGCTCCATGTATAACGGTCTTGTCACACCACGTAAAATGCTAAAAGAAAACGGATAAATGCTGCATTTTAAAACATACTTGTTTGGTTCCCTATGGTAAATTTGTTATTTGAAGGGTTCATCGAAATTACTATTTGTATTGTTACAGAATAATTAGTAGTTGGTTAATTAAACTTTATAAAGCTTTCGATATATATTAGAAATAAATACATATGCAAAGCCTACACAAAGGCCTCTAAAGAACTGTTTATTAAATTAAACACACAAAATATTTAAAGTATATTTTAAATAGAGAAATCACAATTTCAATCAAAAACGCATGTAATTCTTCATTTTTTTAGGGAATAAAAGTTTAAAATATCACATACTGAATTATTATTGTTCGTCATCACTTGCGTTGTAATAAATTGTTAAAGCTTACAATTGAATAAAATAGTCATAAATTATTAAAAACACGAAAATTTAATTATTTAAAACTTCCGTGCATAACCACTTACGAATTATTAACTTGTCTAACACATAAACTGGGTAACTTGACACTCCCAACCAGGTATGTGTGATTTCAGTAGCTTGTCTTGCTTCTATACGTTTAATCGTAAGACGTCAATAACGCTATTTTTATCACCTTGACATATAGCATTACAAGTTCACCCAACCGTTAATGCTATTTAAGTGCCCGAATTCCTAACTAGCTTGTATCTAACTAGCTAGATCTGCTCATCCACAGTAGAAGAACTTGAACAGCTAATCCATATAGAAAAAACTTGAACAGCTAAATCCAAACAGTAGAAAAGAAACATTAAGACTTGATCGGCTAAATCCAAACAGAAGAAACACACAGACGATATTTACTCGACATTGATGAGACAATATCGAAATAAGGTGATAAAAATTATCACGTTGATGACTTGACTTGAACAAAACGTCTGACTTGACTACAGCAACCCTTCTGACTTGAGTGTAGATAGATGACTTTCAAGAACTTGACGTACTTGGTAAACAGTGGAAGACCACAGACTGTAATATCTCCATTTCTGACATATGTAGCACCAATTCTTCAACCACTTGTGACATCATAAGTAACAGTAATACAATGTAGCAACATCACTTTATTGCCTCCACTTCTGACACCATATGTAACAACATGTATTCTTTGTTGTTGTGGGTTAGCTTTCATACAGGAACCCGAGCAACAGTGGCAACTTGAAATGACAACTTTATTTACACTATGTACAGATAAATCCGTGGTACATCCATATTTGAAGATCAACTGATATAGGTACAAATAATAATCACGACTCCAAGTCATGGAGACATCTTACATTTACTGTCATCGTTCCAGTCCCAAGTCCTAGCACACAACACCCGTTCACCTTTCGCTCTCTCTTTTATTCACCACTTTCCCTCCCCTTACGTCAATGAGCGATCTCAACCAAAAGCATGGATAAACACATGAGGATCGCTCAGACAGTCCTTCCGCTAGCCAGGTACTCTTCATTCATGCAAAACACAATATAATAAAGATACATAATAATACAGTCTGTGACAGTGGTGCATATACGTGCCTATATATATGTATTTGGTTATGTTTAGATATGCTATCAGTGTGTTTATACAATAGGTCGTATGGGTGTGTAAGTTTAAAAGATAGAAATGCGTGAAATAGCAAGAAAAGAAAACTATTGTTTTCGCACACTTTAGATCAGGTGACATGAATCGATGTAAGGTTAAAGGGGAATAACCGCCTCCATGTTGTTCCTGGTCTAACCTGGTTTTGTAACAGGTCTGATAAAGACTACACTAGTCTATTCAGTCAGCATGAAAACAAAAAACAATCGAGTGCAACATGTAGAGTTGTCGTGGATTATGAAAAAATGTGTTTCCTACCCATACACGAACACACATACATATACACTAACACACAAACACACAAACACGCATATATATATATATATATATATATATATATATATATATATATATGTATTTATATATATATATATAATATTTACATAGACATATATATATATATATATATATAACCATGTCTATGTAAATATTATATATATATATATATATATATATATATATATATATATATATATATATATATATATATATATATATATATATATATATATATATATATATATATATGTATATATATATATATACCGATACAGATACAGATGCTGACTCAGACACAGACGCAGATACACAGATACACAGACCATATACAATTATACTCACCTTCCGATTTATGATAAGCCAATAACTTGAGCACTGTTTATCTTAGGCGGACGCAAGTTCACATATCAGTAATACATTGTGTGTACATGCTATATAGTTTGAAGGATTTCCGGTAAAGGTATATTGTATTTTGTATTTTGCTCTATTTCCGTGTGAAGACCAGAACGTAATAATTTCCAACTTAATTTCCTTCCTCACTCATACAGCCAGACTTAAAACGACACAAATACAACATTACGTATGTCTGGTATTAGCATTGTGTTAACACAAAACGCATGTTGTACCACTAATTTTATTTAAATTAGGACATACGGATTTAAGTAAAACTCACCATATACACTTTTAGTATTAAATACATATTACGATAACATAGAGCAGTTACATTAAACATTCCAACATTTTATTAAATTATACGATAACATACATAAGTTGCCTTAAACATTCAAACATTTTATTAAACGAGCCGGCCCGCGGCATAACATACGCCGCTATTTAGTTGTTGTTTTTTCTACTTTTCAGTTATTCATAATTTGTGAATTCGACAGTACCAACGCTGCCACTGAAAATATTTCTTTATAAAACTAAAAGTAGCTCGTTAAGGACCAAAATCCCCCCCCCCCCCTCGTTCCTTTCACCCCCCCCCCTCCCCCCCCCCCCCCCTCCGTTAAAAATCGTTGGCTCTGCTTGTAAACATTTAGAGTGAACACAGCTCACTAAAACCATGTAGGGGTGGGGAGGTAGGAAGCGCGTTTACAGCTTGTTTTCTAGGCGCGTTTGCAGCTTGTTTTCTAGCGGCTCCCAGAAGAGAATTATATATATAGATTATATGATAACATAGACCAGCTACCTTAAGCGTATTACCCCACATTTATATTGAAAACGAAATTGTAATCTCACTGTTCTGGATACCATCTCATTCGCTACTAAATCATGGAGATGAGGTACTTTGTCCCCATGGTTAATGTTGGGGGAAAGGGAAGATCAGGTAATAGACCGATCATGCAATTTGTGGTTCTGATGGAATGTATATATATACAGAATGAGAAGTGAGACATAGTGTTATAATCAAAGTTGATGAAACCGTCTGATGAGGCTATGTGGAGAATACTATTCGGAGCATGAGGCTTTATAGTTCTAATTGTTGGAGTGTAAGTTCATAGGATGCAGGTGCTAGTCCGAGTAGACGTACAGATAGCATGCGTATGGCATTTTGTTGTTGTCATAATAGCTTAAACACATTATTTGTAATGAAATCGTGTGTCCTGTTTATTTTATATTTTTCTATAATTATTTTCATCTTCCAGCTACCTCATTACATAACATGTAGTGTTGTGTGAATCTCTGACACAGCAGTTTTGTGTTTATATGATTGTTTGATTAATATGTCGGCACAGTAGATTGGCATGTAGGACACACATGTAGAGCAGCGTTTGTTTGTGTTGTTGTTAGATATGGCTGGACGTGGTACTGTGAGGTTGTTTGACGTCCAGGGTACAGACTTGTGTAGGATGGCGGGTCATAATGAGGCACGGTCATGCTGGTCCGTGTATCTCTTTGATTCAGGTTGGACGTATTATGATCTGGACAAAAGGATGCGTGTAGGTGAGATGGTGCGTGATAATCACGCACGGTCATGCTGGTCCGTGTATCTCTTTGATTCAGGTTGGACGTATTATGATCTGGACAAAAGGATGCGTGTAGGTGAGATGGTGCGTGATAATCACGCACGGTCATGCTGGTCCGTGTATCTCTTTGATTCAGGTTGGACGTATTATGATCTGGACAAAAGGATGCGTGTAGGTGAGATGGTGCGTGATAATCACGCACGGTCATGCTGGCCCGTGTATCTCTTTGATTCAGGTTGGACGTTTGATGAACTGGACGAACGGATGAGTCTAGGCAAGATGGTGTGTGATGATACGAAGTATTCGAGACGCTCGGAATCGAACCAGGTACTGAAGCCGTGTTGGAGTTATTAATAACCTGACCTCTCTTATTCAAATTTGACGAAGTGTTAGCAGGACGAACGGATTTGTTTCGACTAGACTTTGTGTGTCGAGCTGGGGTATTCGAGGTGATCGGACGAAAACTTGGAATGTGAACTGTGTTTGAGTTAGTCATGACATGATTCTCTGTTTGATGCGAAGGTACTGGTACAGTGAAGATGGAGTCACGGTTATTCAAGGTGTGTGAATTAGATCTTTCAGACCTCGTTCTTTTGAGTCGGATATGTTTGCGACAGGCACATGCTATTATTATTGCTAAAATGGGCAGCCCTACTCCCAATGGGATAATGAATTTTAGGAGAAAAGATGGATCGCTTGGTTCCACTGTGGAAAAATGTAAAACATTTGTTATACTTATAAAACTCTTTTATCTAACTGTATATATAAGTGTTAGTATTATTCCCGATTTGTGACGTATTTCGTTAGTTATTTTTAAATCACATCTAGCTTTAAATATTTCAATTTTAAAAACAAAATTTTCTTCAAGTCTCAAAAACCTCGCATTTCTTCCTATAATGCGAAGTAAATAATATATTGCATATTCAATTAATATTTTAAAATGTTATCATTTTGCAAATACGTTTGCTGGATACAATCTGGATAATCTCTTCAGTATATTTTTATTACAATATCTTAACACAACCTACTTGGCTTCTATGCAAGCATTGGAAACAAACTTACCTCCAAATGAAAAACTGCATACAACACTTTCAAAGAATGATTGTTGATCAAAGCCATACAAGCATGTTACATGTTGCATGTCTTTTGTTAGGCGTTCTATATTCAGGGTGATGGACATATCAGCAGAACGGTAATAACTGTTGTAATCTTTAACTCGAAGTAACGCCTGAAAGTTGCCTGAAAATATCAAGTTTTCTTTTTAGGTTATAAGCACCTATTTATATACAGACATATAGTCACACAGACAGACGCACAAACACACACAGAAATACAAACGCAGGCACTAACGCATACGGTCACATAGACACACACACGGACACAAAGCACACTGATAGTTATACACAAACACACAGACACACACCCACACGCATGCAAACACATACTGACATTTACTGTAACACCCAAACTCAAACGCACGAACACATACGAGCATGCTCACACACACACACAGGCACACAGACCAACACACAGTCAGATAAACATCCGTTGCAATATATTTTTAACGTGTAACAATTGCACATTGCAAAACTGAATTGTTTAATTTAGGAATCTTATTTCGAAAGTTAGCATAAGCACATCACACAATCTTACTCCGATCGTAGTTTACTTGGCAAGTATATGATTTATCGCAATCGGCAATGTTTATTGTTGTTCCATTCAATGTTATCAAGTTCCATCGAATGCTCGAAAAGAATACTTTGTTTAGATCCATTTCACACAAAAATGGGTCTCCTTCTTTTACATAAAACGTCCTTGCTTGACACAAAAGTACTGGGAAAAAATATTTCTTTGGTAGCGTTTACAAAAAACAAAAGAATATATATATATATATATATATATATATATATATATATATATATATATATATATATATATATATATATATATATATATATATATATATATACTTCTTTTAATTACACCCCGAATGGAGAAAGAAGTATTCTATAACTACTATTTAATCTTAGAATAAATATTATGCAATAAAATAGCAATTATTACCAATGCAGCTATGTAGCCATACATAGAAAACACTATGCTTCATGACTGATACCTTGATTAAAGTGGTGAATTACTGAAAGAAGATTGATCATTATGTATAACCATCTTGTGGAGACGATAAATAGAACTAAATAGTCGCACCTATCACGTTTTATTTGCTTGAAGTGTGATCTCGGTAAATTGAGTTAATTTTTATTTAACAGTTTAACTAACAAAAGTCACTCAAACACTTAATTTATATATGAACTATACTCGGTTTAAAATGTTACAACTGACGTCTAGGTATCTAGCTATGTGAATGTATGTTTATTAATAAACATTTTTTCAAAATATTCTTTATAGTCTGTTTTATATGTAAAAAAACTAAAGGCTTGTAAAGGCTCGATTGTGAAGTCATTATTACAAAATCTTTACAACGACAACAAGTTACTATGGATATGAATTATATTCTTAAATTCTTTGTCTTTAATCTTTTCAAGAAAATATATAATCACAACGGTTCCAGGGGCAATTGTGCTGTTACTAAACCTATTGAACCGTCGTTTAGGTCAGCCAATCGTGAGAGCGTTTACAAGACAAACGTGTAGGTCTAGTTCGATACGTTTTATTGTACTTCTATTTTTCTGTGTTATTTCTCTGTGTGTTGTGTTTTGTTAATCAGAAAATATTTTGTACTTAATGGTTAAACAATTAAAGCGGGTGTGTGTGATCTCATCTACATTTTTCGAATATTCTTATATAACCTTATGGGGGGGGGGTGGCAACTAAGGATATAGATATAATATTTAATCAATTTCTAAATACTTAAACTTTTAAAAATAAAATATAATCTCGTAGGTACAATTGCACACAATTGAACAGCAAACACAGACTTGCGTACAAAATTGCAAAACTATATTTTTCCGACTCAGGGAAGTGTAAAACGTCGATCTTTGTGAAAATCTCGATTTCGAATTTTTGCATGATTACAATACTTCCTCTATACTTCGTATACGAGAAAGTAAAAAAAAGAGAGAAAAATATGTGTTACCGTTCATAGAATCAAAATATGTTTTATCAAGATATATATGGAGACACGTTTTCAAGTATTTAAATATGAGATATAAAAGATTCCCTAGCATCTACACTGTATTTGATTCGATTTTTATAGATGTGTAAACAATTTTAATGTAGAAAATCGCAGTCTGCCAATTTGTGATCTCAATTTTAAACAAAAAAATAATTTTCACAGAATTGATGTTTGGGTTGTTATGTTTGTTTATTTTCTTTATTAAGTATAATCACGCCTCTTTGTGACTAGCCGTTTTTTTTTAACTGTGTAAAAATCCGTACTTGTGTTTGCATTTATGTTTTGTGTCTCATTTTTATTTTCTAATTGTTTTTTAAAATTGTGTGCACGATAAATCAAGCGTTGTGAAAGTAAACTACACCAAAATACAACACAATAGTACATGATAGAAAACTACAGTATTTACGACCGACTACACATATTAATAAAAAGCAACTAAGGGTTCTATCGCTAAAATAAAATGTTGAAAATTAAATTTTAGGGTGAATTCATAATGTCATTTTTATTGTACAACTATTAAAACACTGATAAAAGCTAGATTTTCGTATGAATATAAACAAGTCACAAAATAAAACTTAATTTTAAAACTGTCTTTTATTTTAACATGAAGATGACTTACGTGTATCTATCCCGAATATCCCGACTATCCCGACTCTCTGAACTACACAGCTTTCCGCAAGGTTTGCTGTTACGATCTTGCAAGCACACAACAACTGTCTTTTGCTTTAACATGAAAATGACTTACATCTATCTATCCCGAATATCCCGACTATCCCGACTCTCTGAACTACACAGCTTTCCGCAAGGTTTGCTGTTACGATCTTGCAAGTAAAGATCAGCACACAACAACTGTCTTTTGCTTTAACATGAAAATGACTTACATCTATCTATCCCGAATATCCTGACTATCCCGACTCTCTGAACTACACAGTTTTCCGCAAGGTTTGCTGTTACGATCTTGCAAGTAAAGATCAGCACAACTGTGTGGCGTCTATATTCTATAATTAAACCAGGCTAACTAGTCTAACGGTCACGGTTTAATGAATACCACGGAGTCGCGTGTAGTGATGTAATGATCGTTTGTAGAGATGTAAGGGTAGTGTGTAGTGATGTAAGGGTAGTTTTAAGTGTTGTAAGGGTCGTTTGTTTATCGTTTGGGTAACTTGTAGTGATGAAATGGTAGTACGTAGTGATGTAATGGTTGCTTGTAGGGATGTAAGGGTAGTGTTTAGTGATGTAAGGGTAGTTTTAAGTGTTGTAAGGGTCGTTTGTAGTGATGTAAACGCTGCTTGTACGGATGTAAGTTCGTAAGTAGTGTTGTAATTGTCGTTTGTAGTAATGTAAGAATAATTTGTTAGCGTCTAATGGGTTGCAAAATTGTATATAGACGTTGCAAGTGGTTAGGCGAAATATAAGAATTGATTTTAGGTATGTATGTGTCGTCTGTTGTTGATAATGTTATGTAAGTTAGTAATGTAGCACTATGCCTAAAGCTGATATATTCTATATTGTAATAAAATATGCATTGGATATTTTATTATACGATGTTTTTTATGAATATATTCCTTGAATTCTTCTGTTATTAATATACATATGTATGTAGATATTATTACTATTTTCCTATAATAGGAATATATATTTCAATCCTAATACACAGAGAATCTCAATATTTAGCAACTTTTAAAGCTATGTAATAATGATTACGCTTTTCTATGTTTAAGCAGTTGATTTTCAACATTTAGCAAACCTTTTTTTTTTTTACATTTTAATGTAAGTATGGGACGGAGTGGTCTAGTGGTAGAGAGCTGGACTGCTAACTCGTAAGTCTCGAGTTCGAATCCGGGTTCAAGTCAGTAGACCATCCCTGATTCCACCCTACTCTGATGGGTACCTAACTCACGTTAGGGAGAGTAAAGGCGGTTGGGCATAGCGCTGACCACACTATCTCTTCACTATCTCTTCATATGCCGAGGTCACAGAAACAAATGAACTCTACTTCACTTGCCCCATAGACCGTCAGGTTTGAAATGGAATCTTTTTTTTTTACTTAACAAGCTTAGATCCATATCCTAAAATAGTAATATAAAAAAAAATAATTAAAGAAAATAATAGTGTGAACATTTTTATTTTCAATTAAATAATCTTAAAAAACTACATATTTTTATTATTAAAGCTGTATGTTTAATTAAGACTAATACATGTTACTTTTACTTTTCAAAATGTAGATGTCTAATAATACTCTTAATTCTGCAACAACTTAAAAAAAAGTTCGGGTTAAGCACTAATTGAAGGGAATAATTTTGAGGTTGACAAAGTTGTGGTTTACCGTATGTTAGAATGTATTTAAGAAACTTCCTAGAGTGCCCCATAATTTCCTACATACCCATTATGGTGTCTAAATGAAATATTTTTTTATGTGATTCGAAAGCTAAGCATATTATAATTTAATATAACTAATAATGTATATACAAGAAAAGAGATTTGGTCATTATACAATTCAACATTGAACATTTTATTGTAAATATTTTCATGTAAATCTACGAAATGAAAGCTCAAAATATATACACATTGTCTTAAAATAGCATTTCAAAAACTTCGTGCAAGACTTTAAAATGTTCTTGGATATTGCCTTCGATGTCTTACATTCTTAATAATATTCGACCAAACAGCTTTCAAAATAAAAATAAACTTAGCCTGCGACGCGACAATAGAACAAATGAAATGTAACATAAGGGATTTACTAAAACAGAACTTGGTAGCATAATTGGAATGTATACACACCAGATTTAACAATCTGGTATAATGTTAAAAAGCACATTATAGAAAACCCAGTCCAATGCATGGTTCACTGGATAAATACTTTGAATACAACATTAACAATGTACTTAAATGTATAAGACACAGGATTCTTATATTATACACATTAGAAAGCACCGTCTGTAAAAAAACAATGATAAAAATGTATTTTAGTACAATGCTTATTAGCACTATAAACTTAGATCATAGAAAATCCTTCCTATGTGCACATTTGTGTCATCATTTATTTTTGTTTAAATTATAGTAATAGCAAGACCCTAGAAAGATTTATATGCACTTGTTAACTTTTCAGTAATAATATGTAGGTGTTTTAGTGTCGACTTTTCGATCCTGTGTTCAGCAATTATGTTTTAATGTATGTGTGTAATATTGTATCCATTTAAGAATAAGGTAGGTTGTGTAATGAATATTTCGAATATAGTTGTATTAATTTATGTCACATTTTTGACATAGCGTTAAGAGCAAAGATAAAAAACTAATGTATTGAATACTGTACAGGCCTGCATAGTGTATCTGAGTGTGATTGTTTTCTTTTTTTATTGGTATTTGTATTAGCAAAACATGTTGTAGAGCACTCTGTATATTGCAATTTATTAGTATTCAATTTATTTTACATTGTCTTTCTTCATTTAGTTCTGAATACATCATGTTTTGTCAGATTTGGATTCCCTCCACTAAAATACATCTGTGTTTGTATCCGATTGTTATTGCAAGGTCGCAAATGGTAACTGCCGTTAAGAACACGCATTATGTTTAACACTGTTTGTACCTGCTTTTGTATTACAGGGAATAGCCTTATCGAGTGACGTTGTTTTACGTAAGTTGACGCTTTGCCGTGACGTTGTGTGACGAATAGGTTAAACAGAACTGAAAAGGCTAGAATATGATGGTGGATAATCGTCAGACATCCGAAGGTTATTCTGCTGACCTCTTTCGTTCAAGTTGGAGTTTCGATGTGACGTTGTGTGACGTGAGTTGATGCTTTGCCGTGACGTTGTGTGACGTGTATTAACGCTTTGCCGTGACGTTGTGTGACGAATAGGTAAAACAGAACGGAAAAGGCTAGAATATGATGGTGGATAATCGTCAGACATTCGTAAGTTATTCTGTTGACCTCTTTCGTTCAAGTTGGAGTTTCGATGTGACGTTGTGTTACGAAGAGGGATGTTTGAGGTGAGGGGAGGTGTACTGAAAGAGGTAGTCGACTGAGACAATATGGACTCAGTCTGTGTTTCTGTATGATGCAGATTCGAAGATTGCTCAACCGTGAAGATAGTGTTCGTGTCTTGGTTACGCATGGTGCGAGTATGTGCTTTTCTAGCATTTTCTTTTCGTAGTTGACAAATGAACAAAAAGGCAACCCTAATTACTAACAAGAGTGTCAACCCTCCTACCAAACCTATGACTATAACAATTATTATTGAGCTATCAAAATCTGTTTTTTCCGGAGAATATGTTGGTGGCACTGTGAAAAAAAATACATTATGTGTTATTAGAAAATTCTAATTAATTTATATACATTCAGTTAATGCTAATATTAAACAGTTTGTTAGAGTTATTAACTACAGTTTATTTATAAATATAGTTTCTTTTTCTACCTTGGGTCACATAAAGTTATTTCATACTATGCACAACGAAACATTAAACTAACTGACTCTTTAGAAACTGATTATTAACATTCTAGATATAGGTAAAGCTAGATCTAGATCTAGATGTAAAATACGGCTTACTTAGGCTTAAGTCTAGTTTTTTCTAGATCTAGAATCTAGATACATAAATCCCTTGTATTCTCGAATTAGATCATCAGTAAAGCTAAAAAACAAAGATTTATATCGAACTAGCGTACCCGACTCACGCGCGTTGCCGCGGGGATAGAATAAAGTTTGACGAAATATATTAGAAGGATTTCACCAACGCGTTACCAATCATATGTTCTTAGACGCGTGACTTTCTTTTCTAAAAATGAGTTATTTAAATGTAAACAATGCCTGCGCTTGGATCATAAATATCAGGACACGTGTTTACCTACACTACCGCATTAAAACCTTGAGTGTACATTAATCACTCACCGAAATAATATGGTACACTTCGGTGACCGCCCATGTGTCAGAGACGTGAGGGGCGCTCTCATGAGCCCTCACCCCCCAATTACACCACCCATGGCTCCTTAAAATTAACAGGCGCCATCGTGCCAAATAGCATCCTGTCAACAATGATGCAGATTGCGTCATTCGTTAAAGTGACACAAATGAACAGGATTTGTTATTTAACACGTAAAAAATTATTTGACGTGTTTTAAACATCAGTGTGTAGGAGTCGGTGTGGTCGAGTTACTAAACTGAAAAGTCTCGAGTTCGAACCCTCGGGCAGATGAGGCTCGTTAGCTGGGGACAACCACTTTTCTAGGAGAGACAACTCCAAAACTTAAACAACTGCTGCCTTGTAGTTTGTTCTTGGTTGGACAAAGGCTATGGAAGCAAATCCAAAAAGAAAAGCAGGCTGAAATCGGAGTCAATGGCCTCAATGGCGCATAACCAGTTGACACGTAACGGTTAATTGTGTTGGAGGCGTGGTCGAGTCGGCAAAAAGCTCATGGTTGATAAATTCGAACAAAAGTCTCGAGTTCAAACCCACTGGCAGATAAATCTCGATCCCCTTCAACACTAATAATTCAGAACGAAGAAGAAAGAAGAAGAAACATCAGTGTGACTGATGCAATATATTAACGTTACCAACGGTCTATTCTTAGATGCTCGATCTCAATTTCTGATTGGATTATTTAAAAATATATGCTAATTGCATCATTCGCAAAGTGACGAATATATTTGGATTTTCTATGAACAAAAAGAAACATCCCAGTTAATAATCTAACCTTGGTTAATTTTTCTGATTATTAAAATAAAACGTATTACATGGCCCTCAGCGTCCCATGTGAGCCTTTGGGGGCAGAAACAGACATTTTAATTTGCAGCCTAATCGCACTCTACCTGGGCCACAGAGAACACGCCTGATTCAATTTAGTAAGCGTTTGTAACGCCCCATCCTATCCATTGTCTATCACACTGTTTAGACCGAACGTATTCACTTTAGCGCTCACGTGAAAAACCAGGGCGCCAAATCGCATCCTGCCGGGGTGCCACCCCTGCGAATTTGAAAATGTTTTAGCGGTGTCACGGCAATTCACTTTTATTATTTTTATATACGGTATATAGAGAAAAATCGCACCCTGCCGTGGCGTCGCCTTTGTAAAATTAAAAATTAATTTCTTGCATAACCCTTCCCCAAAGTGTTCTAATCAACTCCCCAAAGTTTGACGGCGATTAGATGAACTGTGTAAATCTGCAATCGACTATTGTTTTTATATACCATATATAGAGAGAAAACAAATCGCGCCCTACCGGAGCGCCACCCCTGCGAATTTGAAAACGTATTTTAAGTAGAAACCTCCCCAGGAATATTCTTAACATCTTCCAAAAGTTTTATTGCGATCGTGTGAACGGTGTCACTGCAATTCACTTTTAGAATTTTTAGATACTGTATATAGAGGAAAATCGCACCCTCCCGTGGCGTCGCCCTTGCGAAATTAAAAATGACTTTTTACAGAACCCTTCCCTGAATTGCTCTAATCAACTTCCCAAAGTTTGACGATGGTTGGATTAACAGTGTGAATCTGCAGCCGACTCTTATTTTTTATAGACCGTATATAGAGAAAAAACAAATCGCGCCCTGCCGGGGCGCCTCCCCTGCGAATTTGAATTTTTTTCCCCGCAAAAACCTCCCCAGGAATATTCTTAACAATTTCCCCAAAGTTCGACGGCGATGTGATAAGTGGTGTGGTAATGCATAAAAGACACACAAACACAAACACACACACACACATATATTGCTTTATATATATATATATATATATATATATATATATATATATATAGAGAGAGAGAGAGAGAGAGAGAGAGAGAGAGAGAGAGAGAGATAGATATTTAAGGACTAAAGTAGTTTTAAAAAAAACAATGTATCGTGATTTTATAATTGTTTTTTTTTTTAACTAATCAATTTTGGTTTGACCTAGATTCTAGATCAATAACTAAATCTATTACTTTTCCTTCCTTCAACATCTGATCTGTAGATGTAGAGTAATTTATTCTAGTGTTGGAACCAAATAAAAAAATAGCAAACGGAGGTATCGTTAAAGCTATAGCCAATAGAACATTTTGCTTTATAATGCTTAAATTTTTGAATGGGTAACAGATAATCTATGGAAGCCCTCATACTTGTAAAAAAAAAGGATCATGTGATGTCACTATAAGTAAAGCCATTGTTCTGAACTATTAAATTAATTAACGTCTTTATATAAATTTGTTATAAATTGTTTGGTAGAAAAGAACATTATTATCTACCCAAATAATTTTTTTCAGCTCTACACATAATGCAGATTCTTTCATGTAACTAAACATACAAACAAATGTGGAGTATGGATGGATGGATTGATGGATGGACGGACGGACGGACGGACAGAGACATACAGACAAAGACAGACAGACACATACAGACAGACAGACATCGGTCAGACAGCGGTCAGACAGACATCAGACAGACAGACATCCAGACAGACAGACAGACAGACATCCAGACAGACAGACAGACAGACAGACAGACAGACAGACAGACAGACAGACAGACAGACAGACAGACAGACAGACAGACAGACAGACAGACAGACAGACAGACAGACAGACAGACAGACAGACAGACAGACAGACAGACAGACAGACAGACAGACAGACAGACAGACAGACAGACAGACAGACAGACTGACAGACAGACAGACAGGCAGGCAGGCAGGCAGGCAGGCAGGCAGGCAGGCAGGCAGGCAGGCAGGCAGGCAGGCAGGCAGGCAGGCAGGCAGGCAGGCAGGCAGGCAGGCAGACAGACAGACAGACAGACAGACAGACAGACAGACAGACAGACAGGACAGACGGGACAGACAGACAGACAGACAGGACGCTTATTTATTGACTTTAAAAAAAAACGTGTACATTCATGTATTTATAGCAGGTTCATAATCGTTTAAAATACTACTAAAGATACATAACCTAAAATATTTTTCAGGTTAGTCTAAACAGCAAATACAGCTACACCAAACTGCACGAGATGGATTGTTATGATCAAGTTCATTTTACCAGTTATGTCAAAATTATAAATGTTTTAATGTCTTGAAGAGTGTAATGACAAGTTGATTTTAATGGTAATGTCAAAATTATAAAAGTTTTAATGTCATGAAGAGTATAATGACCAGGTGATGTCAAAATTATAAAAGTTTAATGTCATGAAAATTGTTATGAAGAGCCTCGGGACATTTTGTTTAGGGTTCATTCTTTTTTTAAATTTATTAAATCAAAAACAAACTTGGAGGATTTGGGAATTTATATTCAACAAAAAAATAATACAAACATCTACATATCAGCCTGTTATATGAACTTTAGTTAAAATGGTTTTCGACAGTTTCAATAATAACGCAGAAGCAAGAATTTTCAAAATATTTCTTATAATTTAGTTGCCTTTATTATCAAACGATTTTAAATTTTTAAATTAGAAAACAGTTTCTTTAATGTACACAAGAAAAAACTGTTATCCGTTGGAAAACGGTCTGCATGCTGTATCACGTAGCGCAACTCTCTCCGCTCAAATACATAGTTATTTTATCACACATTCCCCAAATACACATCACCAGCCGTCTATTTCAACCCTTTGAAAATATCCCAAATTCTAATACCCCATGCGACGCCCACTATCTCTATAATTAACATTTACGAAGAAAACTTGAAAACGCATCGCAGCCGTATTTTCGTGTCAACATGTCACTGTCATTAAGACACGTATCACAATCACGGTTACATTTTCACTTACTTTCACTGACTTTTTTACATTGAATGTATATTACCAGGATTCTAACTGACCAACTGAGCGTTGGTTCGATCTTAGAAGAAATTAGTTTTACTTATTACATTTGTTCTATGAAATAATATATATAAACTACACTTTTCGTCGTATATTTTTGTATATAAAGTAATTAACTACATTGTACCTAGTTAAGTACTTTTCACTACGGTTTTTAATCTTTGTTTTAATTTATATCTACAAATATATTTTCTTAAATATACAAAACATTTTAACAGCCATTTTTACTTTCTCGTATATACGAAGTATAGAGAAAGTATTGTAATCGTGCAAAAAAAAAAATCAACATTTTTGCAAATTTCGACATTTACACCTCCGTGCAATCTTGTCCATATGTGTGTGTTTATGTGTGTGTGTGTGTGTGTGTAAACACGATAACTTGAGTACCGATGATGAAATTACATATATAAGCATTATATCAAAATCGTAGATCCGTATCAACTTTTGAGAGATTTCCAATAACCGGAAGTGGAACTTTTTCTACTTTGAATTTTTCAAAAGCCTATAACTTGAGTACTATTTCAGAAAGATAAATAAAATTTCACATGTAAGTAAAAGATCTAATGTTCTGCCTTCTGTCAAATTTTGAGTAATTTCCGTTGACCAAAAGTAGTAATTTTCACTATTTCCGTTTTTAAAAAAAAAGTATGTGAATTTATAAAGTACTAATAATATTCCACACTATTATACACATCTTTATTCGGAGTTCGCTTGATGCGCAATTCTTTTTTCTATGAGATTCTATTCTATTTTTAAAAGTTTAAGTATTTAAAATGGATTAAAAATCATAACTATATTCCGAGTTCCCATCCCCTGTTGTTTTATATAAGAATATTTGAGAAAGTTTAGGGTAGATCACTCCCGGTTTAATTTTGAATTATTTTCAATATTTTAATAAAAAAGTAAAAAAAAAAGTGAGTCTTTTTCTTTCTCGTATATACAAAGTATAGAGAAAGACATGTAAACATAGTTTTGCAATCTTGTCCCTATGTCTGTGTGTGTTTCTGTACGTGTGTGAGTGTGTGTGTGTGTGTACATGTAAACGCGATAACCTGAGTACCTTTAAAGCTAGGTCAATGACATTTTTTATGTAAGTAATATATTAAAATCTTTGATTCTTATCAACTTTTGAGCGATTTCCGATAACCTGAAGTGTAACTTATTCTACTTTTATTTTTTTTAAAGCCTATAACTTGAGTACTGTTTTAGATAGATAAATTAAATTTCACACGTAAGTACAAGATGTAATTGCCTGCCTTCAGTCAAATTTTGAGTAATTTTTGTTGACAGTTAGTAGTATGTGAATTTATAAAGCACTAATAATATTCGCACTATTATACACATTTTTTGTTTTTTTTATATCTACAACACAAGAAATAAGTTTTAATTTTTTTTAAGAGATTTGTCAATGCAATGGTATTAGATACGAGTACATTGTTAGATATATTAAAGTTGTTAAATACTTTTAATTAAGCCAGTATAAAAACAGGAATAATAGTGTGACTGTGGATCCTGTTACGTGATACATTTTATTTTAATCTTGATTTTGTAAAATAAAATAATTATTTGATTTGACTGCTAACCCGTAAGTCTCGAGGTCGAATCCGGGTTCAAGTCAGTAGACCTTCCCTGAGTCCACCCAACTCTGATGGGTACCTAACTCACGTTAGGGAAAGTAATGGCGGCTGGGCTTAGTGCTGACCACACTATCTCTTCATATGCCGAGGTCACAGAAACAAGTGAACTCTACTTCACTTGCCCCATAGACCGTCAGGTTTGAAAGGGAAACTTTACTTTTACTTTTGATTTAAAGCAGTTTATGGTTGATATGTATGTGTACATTTACGCTTTAATTTAATGTTATGAAAAACTTTTCCTGCTCCTAGTTTATTAATTGTAAGTTAGCGCTTTCTGGGCTATTTTTGGCTAAGCTTCATAGTTCTGATTATGGTTAATTAACTTATACAAAACATACATTTTCAGTATAATGTCTACTGTGGAGAATATGACAAGCATTATTTTTAGTTATGAGTTGCAATACTCATTGTATTATTTATCACTTTATCTTTAGTTATATATTTTTGTTATATTTTTTGCTTGATATATCTGGATAATCTTTACATTAAAATGTTTTGCGATATTTAAAAAAAATACATCTTACTAGTAGACTTAACAGTCTTAGAGAATAGATTTACCTCCAAATTCAAAGCTGCATGAACACTCATCAAGTAGAAAAAAACGATACAAACACTTTAGCTGTCGCATATCCCTTGTAATGTGATTTACTCTCATGCTGATTAACAATATGTTAGTACGAAAAAAATTGTTGACACCTATTACTGTATTGGACGCATAAAAGTTTGCTGAAAATAGGAAGTACATAGTTTATGGTCAATCATTTACTTTAATATGAAAAACACATTGTCACACAAACACTCACGCACACGGACACACCGACAAATGGACAGACACACACACACACATATATATATATATATATATATATATATATATATATATATATATATATATATATATATATATATATATATATATATACTTCTATGGATTTAAGTGTTAGATTATTATGGTGCTCATAGTCTAAATTAGTAAGTTAAAAAATTACTATTGAAAGTGTTGGGAAATAATTTTCATTTTTCAAACTGATAGTAATAATCGGCAATGGTCATTAAACACAATTTAAAAAAAAAAATATCATCTTTTACAAAAATTCTAATTATGTCTGAAAATTATTTATATCTAGTTCTTTAGCACTTACTTCCCTTTGATTAATTAGGAAAACACCATTACTTTTCTTTATAAAACATTGCATTAGTGGAAAAGAATTTACTTTTTATTACTTTGTTTTGGTGTTGGGAAAAAATAATTACATAATTAGCGGGGATTGATCAAGTGCAAAAGTTGTAGGTATTTTACGGATAAGTTTGGAGTATTATAATTGTTCATTCGGTTTGGTTTGGCACCTACGTTCGTTTAAGTGAGTGCAAAAGACTTTGAATAAGTTGGGGTATTATAGTCGTTTATTAAGCTGAAACAGCGATGCTGCCCCGGGCTAGAATGTGGGCACTTTGCGTTTATGTTTGCGTTTGTGTTTTCTTTGTTTTTAGGTTGGGTTTGCGTTAGTGGTTGCGTTTTGATTTGGTTCGTTTTTGTTCTTTCTTTTTTCTTTTTCGTTTTGTTTTTTTTCTTTGGGTTTGTTTTTGTATTTGTGTTTGTGGTAGGTTTTGTGTTTGGATTTGGTTTGTTTTCGTTTGCTTTTTTGTTTGTGTTTTTTCTTTGGGTTTGTGTTTGTGTTTGTGGTTGGTTTTGCGTTTGGATTTGGTTTGTTTTCGTTTGCTTTTTCCTTTTTTTTTTATTTGTGTTTGTATTGGTGTTTGGGGTTGTGGTTGGGTTTGTTGTTAGGTTTTTGTTTTCGTTTGTATTTGTAATTGTGTTAGCGTAATGTTTGCGTTTTGTTGTTTTGGTTTTGGTTGGTTGTGGTTTGGGTGGGCAATGCCGGGTTTATGATGATTAATAAACACACAGGAAATGGTCTTTAACAGAAAGGTTTTTCACAGAAGCCAGAGCAGGGCCTGGCCGGGACGGCTAGTATATATATATATAACTTTTATATATTAACAATAATATTTATCCGCGATAATGGTGCAAGCTACTCTGAAAGCATTTTATAATGTAACATTTTTTCCAGTATTTTTTTTCCTGCATTATCATCTACGACAGGGGTCTCCAAACTTTTCAGTCCGAGGGCCGCATTAACTATAAAATTTCAGTTCGGGGGCCAGTTTCTTTCAGGCATGTCTTTCATTTTTCTGGGAAACGTTCCTCAGCAATCACCGACCAACGATTTTTCCTTGGACAGAAAGATCTCCGCGGGCCGGATGAAGGGACTTCGCGGGCCGCATTCGGCCCGCGGGCCGTAGTTTGGAGACCCCTGATCTACGAGAAAGAAATAGTCACAAGTATAGCAATGGCAACGCTGGCTTTTAACAGACTTGCTAAGATCTAGAAATCATCCTCACTGTAGCAGAGAACCAAAAAAAAAAGGATTTTCTGTACTCCTCTATGGAAACTAAACATGAAAGTTGAGAGCAGTCTTAGAGGCTTTAAAAGAAGATTCCTCCAACGTATTCTCATGATAAAGTGGGACGACAAAATCCCGAATAAGGAAATACGACGGACAGGCTCAAACCACATTGCCCTACAAGTACGAATGAGGACACGGCAATGGCTGGGTCATGGCCTTCGAATGAACAGAAGAAGACTCGCGAACATAGCGCTAAAATGGACTCCACCTGGAAAACAGAAGAGAGGAAGAACACTGGAAACATTAAGGAGGGAGATGGAAGAAGATGTGCAGGCTACTGGCAAAACCTGGCTTGAATTGAAGTGGTTCGCACTAGACAGAGCGGAATGGCGAAGATATGTTGCTCCATAGGGAGAGACGAGGATTTATTAAGTAAGATGAAATTATAGAAGCATGGTAAATACAAATATTTTGTGTACCCCTCTTAATACTATTATCTTAATGAAGAGTGTTATTTGATTTTTTAAAAATAATAATAAGATAAGCAAGAAATGTGTGTCTGATGATGTAGGCTCCTCAACTGCATCAAATTTTTTGTTACCCTGAGGTTGCATTAATATTTAAATACGAAATTGTTTTCGTTCTATAATCACAGGCTTAGGTAGTAACTAGCATATCTATTGGGAAAAAAACATTTTTACTTACACTATAACACTTTGGAAAGAAGTCTATTATCTAAGCATAATCTTTTCCACGTCTTAGTGTTTATTGTGAAAAAGGTGTCTCTTTCTTCCACAGTATTGATTATTGCGTATCAAATTATTTTGTGCTCTCTATGACTCTCACTTCAACCTACTTTTAGTTCTGGCTTCCTTAGCCTTAGTTTAACATTAACATTTTGCAAGATAGCCGTGTTTTTTATTTTGATATTTTCTCTACTCGATGTCTCATTGTGGGTCGTAGTCGTCAGCTGGAGAGTGTGTCGGTGGTCCGAGCTCGAGACTTATGTGTTAGGGATCGTTCGTTTACCTACTAAACTACGACTTCTCTTTTACGCAATAAAAAAATAGAAACTTTAACGTGGATTTCGGGCTAATTCCTTTTATTGGCATCGTCAGTTCTCAAAAACGACTTTCGTTACCACAAACAAGTAAGTTTCGGGACCTGTTTCTTTAGTTTTGCATTTGGCTTTATATCTTGAAAAAAAAGATATTTGTGTCTGTATTTAGCAAAGCATAAGACGTGTGCTGATTTATATATGTAGCTTTTAATAGGGCGTTTTAGAGAGTTTTCGTCTCTGATGTAGGCTTATAATACTAAAATCTTACATCTTGCAATTAAATGCATTTGTAGTGATTGCATTTTAATAAAGAGTGTTTTTGATAACTAGGAAGCTTTTATGATTTCAAATTAGCTTACGAAATATGACGACTCATTCTCTCGACATTTATTGTATAAGTGTCCATACGTTGTGCCAATGTTCAGAATCAAAGAATGTTTTTAATAAGCCACACTTAGCCTACACCTATATCTATATATACATATATGTTTTTAAGCGTAAACAACTTAAATAGATTTAAACGGCCAATGCTTACATCAGGATACTAAACATAAACAGTACTAAATCTTACTTTGATCATAGATTACAAAACACTTTTTAAATTTATCACATTTGGCGATGGTCATAGTTGTTCCATTAGCTGTAATTAAATTCCACTCAACTGGCTCAGGCCACGACTCATCATTTTTCTGTTCGCATGTAAATGAGTCTCCTTCTTTCACGTAATATGTCTTGTTCTGACAAAAAGGTACTGCAAAAAAATGCAAATATTGTATTGTTTAAAAAAAAACACTATTAAGATATAAGGATTTAGTCGTACGTATTTGATCAGTACATGCATGTATGTGGATGCGTATGCGTTAGCGTATGAAATATATCTCAGTACACGATGTAACAAGGTAAATGAAATACGAATGAAATTCTAAGTTGGATATTGAACTATCTTTTTTTTAATAACACGTAGCTTGGAAAGTAATCTTTACCTATGCAGATAAGCAGCCAAATATAGCACACACTGTGTTTCATTTCTGTTGCCTTGTATGCTGACTGGAAGAAGAGGATAGTGTTTATTAAAATCATTAGCAGTGTCGAAATGGTATTAGGACAAATATAATCTACCATCAAACGATTGTTATTACTTGAAGCAGGATCTTAATAAAATGAAATAATTAGTTTAAGCCAATAAAACCCTTATTAAAAAGAAAAAAAAAAGCTGAATTTCACAAGAATTTATTTTTGTATAAGTGAACAAAATCAGAACTAAGAAGTTTAACCAGAAAACCCACAAAGCGTTAACTTACTTTTAATAAAGTAGGAGCAAGAAAAGCTTTTTAGAACACTAAATTCAAGAGTGAATTTACATATACATATTAAACAAAAACTGCTGTAAATCAAATTATAAGGTTACTTTAAAAAATCGATGTTTAAAAAATACGTTACATGGTCGACAGGCATAAAATACGATGTCCGAGTATCATTCCTGCTTTTAAAAAAAAACTGGCGTAAAAGTATATAACAATAATGTATTAACAAATCTTTTTAAATAAGTTAAAACGTAATATTTGTGTTTTAGATATAAATAAAAACAAGTAATGTTTTATACTGTCACACGATTTTTTATTTTAAATCCATGAAACGACAATTTAGCCAACACAGCAGGTAAGACTTAATTTATTTTAAACTTTTATTAAAATATTGAAAAGAATTCGAAATGTTTTTGTTTAAAACCTGGCCGTTAAAATGTCTTGTGTTGAAGTAATATTAAATGTTTTAGAAAAAATAACGTGTGAACCTGTTATACTATACGTGATAATATTCCATATCGGTAGATAGGAAGACAAAAAAATAAACTTACTAGAATATTTAGGAAAATATATTTGTAGATTAAAATGTCGATAACAAAGATTTAACAAAACTGCAGTGAAAGGTACTGGGTGCAAAGTAGTTAATTAGTTTATATACAAAAGTATACGACGAAAAGTGTAGTTTGAATCTTAACTTGTGAGTTTAATTTAATTTTCACAATACTTCCTACTTGTCTAGATCTATTTATAGTAACGTAAACAAGCTATTGAATTTCTCCCGGTGTTGCATATTGATATAATAATGAAGTGTAGTTGTGTTCATACATTTGGTGTAAGATCATTATCGTTGTTGTTTTGTTGCTTTTAGAATGTGTGTGTGTACCTTGGCCTAACTTAACACAGTACAATAAGCTGTGCTATGTTGTGTATTCGTGTCAGACGGTTCATCTTGTTGTTTGTTTGTTGTTGTTGTTGTTTTAATCTGCTAATAAAGTCCAAATAGCTGCGTCTATGATCTATTGTGAAGGTTAATTAAGGTAAAACACTGAATTAGGTAGAGATTTTAGTATTAATACATTACAAACATTGAAGTTGAATGTAATAAACTGCTGTATAATGTATCATGAAAGTGACTTATCTACACTGTCTATATCTGCCTAGACTGAGTCCTAGCAAGTAAACATCTACACTGCCTATTACGTCACTACAATATAAATATACTAGTCAAAACCGGTTTGACAGTCACGGGTCAACGAATCCAATGGGGTCGTTTGTAGTGAAACATACGCTTCTCTGTTATATTATTAAAGATTTGATGTTAAGGATATAAAAAAAAAGTATGATTACTATTGAAGCTTTATTAATAATAAATTAACAGTATATTTAACAGTGTTAGAATTTATTTTTACATTTAATTTTTCGACATCCCTTATGTTAGATGTGGTTAATATTTTGGATAATTATTTCTTTAAATTGTTGTGTCAGTAAAACTAAGCTTTCTCAATAATAAGCTGACTAATAAATAGATATTTTAGGATAAATATCTAAGGGTAATATTTGGCAAGCACAAAATGCCTTGATAATGATAACAATTGAATTGTAAGTGTCAGCTTGATCAGGCACATTTAATTGATTGTACTTTTTCGTATAGTCAAGTGGTAGAAAGCTAGACAACTAACACAAAAGCCTCAAGTTCGAAACCACGTTTCACCCTGCTATGATGGGTACCTAACTCACGTTACAGACACTGTCACACAGATGTCTGACACTGTGACCCACAGATATGTCTGACTTTGTCACACAGATGTCTGACTTTGTCACACAGTTGTCTGACTTTGTCACACAGATGTCTGACTTTGTCACACTGATGTCTGACATTGTCACACAGATGTCTGACTTTGTCACACAGATGTCTGACATTGTCACACAGATGTCTGACATTGTCACACAGATGTCTGACTTTGTCACACAGATGTCTGACATTGTCACACAGATGTCTGACATTGGTAAGTCTACTTTTTGTTTTTTTTTTGGTATAAAAGCAAACAAAACAAAAATCGACAATTAGTACCGTATTTTAGTTACTACTGTGTCTATTACCTATATGAAATTGATTATTGCAAACGGCACTAAATTAGGTTTTAAAATACAGTTAAGACACATCAATTCATTGTTTAATGTAGGCCTACCGCTTATAGCATGAATATGATTACATCTTACAATAAATCTGAATGTAATAAACTATTCTATGATCCAACAGAAAGATGACTTACGTGTACGTTGCCTTTCTGTATGCAACTCCCTGGATGGTGACCTTGTTTTAAAACATCAATACCGTTTACGTCAGAAGATTTAAGTACACCTGTGACACATGGCTGGCAGTCACAGGTCAGTGAAACTACCGGGGTCATATGTAATGAGGTAATCAATAATCCTTACAACGTGTAAGCTAGTCGAAAAACATTTCAGGGAAATTGAAAATAGCCTATATTGTTATGTGTTTGTAGTTTCTTAAAATGTAATATCTTGGTTATACTGGATATTATGTATGGTTATGTTTTAAACTACTATTGCATTTGAATTATTCAAACACTTCTCCGTGCCTCTAAACAACTTTAACAAAAAAGCGTTTAAGTAAGTGTACAGTAAATCACTGGTTTGAGGCATGTCGTTTTAAAGCAAATTATATCAACGAAACAAATTGAGCAAACAGCAAAAAAAATTTTAAAAAATAATGGATTTTGAATGTATACATCACAGCCTTTGCCAATAGATAACATGTTTATAAAACAACGTGTTTTTTAAAATAAATCCCACTCCAATGCATGATTTATTGTAAACAATATTTAGACAACAAAAGTCAAAGTAGGCTACTTACATATTTACGCAGTACGATCTTTTTAACTTTAAAAATTAGACTAATAATAGAAAGATGCCGACTGGCAAAATATTATTAAAACAAAACAACAGTAGAAGGCTTTTAAGAATATAAACGTAGATAATTCAAGAATCTATATATATAAAGGCCTACACATTTATTAATAGCTTAATAGTTAAAATGTGTGATGAAAAGAATAAAAACGGAAAAGACGAATGAGACATTCTCCGATGAATCCGTCGAGAAGGTCATAAAATATTTTTAAAAAATTTTAGTTTTGTTTTGAAATATATATTCAGTTATGGATTGCTTTTAATATGGAACAGCAGGAAGAAAGTCTTCATTTTTATCAAACACAGATAGACTGTCTTTATTTATATGTAACAAAAGGAAGACTGTCTTCATTTATATCGAACTGTAAAAGTTTAAGCATATATTGTAACATATAATTTGGTTGAAATAGATGCTGTTATACCTTTTGTTTTGACAGTAAAATAAAACCTTTGCCAAGCACTTAGGCCTATATAATATTTTAATGTATATACTGTACTCAGAATATAAAAAGAACATAAATATCACTGTTAATCCCATATATTTCAATGCAATAAAAAATTAAATTACATTTTGATAGGCAACTCCTTATATTCCCCTCATCACAACTACATACAGACAAACAACAACAAGTACAACATTACGTATGTCAAACATTAGAATTATGTAAACACAAAACTCTTGTTTTATAAATGTGTTTATGCAAATTGAAATATCGATTAAAGTTAAACTAAAAAATACACATTTAGTATTAAATATATTATACGATAACATACATTCGTTACTTTAAAAATTTCAAACTTTATTAAATTATAGGATAACATAGATGAAATACCTTAAAAAGTTTTACCCCACATTTATTGAAAATTTAAATGTAATCTCGCTGTCCTGTATACCATCTCATTCGCTATTAAATTATGTCAAGTGGAAAAATCACCGTTTTTTCGTAAATTATTAGATTTTGGTGTCACCACTTACCGGTCGTTGATTGACGTATCAGTTATTCAAAATACTCAATAAAAAACTTCTTTTCTTAATTATTTTGCAATTGGTGTCACAAACCCTAACACCTGAATGAGAGTTTTAAGTGTGCACAGTTAATAGTAAAGATGTTTATCTAGAGTCAGGTGCTAATACATGTGGATCAACTATAATAAATCATTAATTGAACTGGCTAAAAGAATATTTCATTTATATATTTCTGTAATTTTTGCCATGGTGTCACTCCCTTAAATGGTGTCACCCGGTGAGGTCCGCATCCCATGCCTCCGCCTTGCGAGGCATCTGGAGTAAACTACAAGCGTAGATGCATATCTTAAAAAAGTAATATAAAATAAAGAGATATAAAGAAAATAATAGCTTTTAATGAAGCAATCTAATATAAACAGTACTTCATTTTCATATTAAGGGTGTATGTTCGGTTTAGACAATTACATATTACTTTTCTTTGACAAAATATATTTTTCTTTAATAATTTTCTTAATTAAAAAAAATCATAAATCGGGTTAAAACACAAATTGAAGGAATACTTTTTAGGATGCCAAAGTTGTGGTTTACCGTATGTTAGAATGTATTTAAGAAACTTTCTGGACTATCCCATACTTTTTGCTACATACCCATTAGGGTGTCTACACATTTAAGGTTATGCGAAAAGTACGAATATTATTTTTAATACAATTAATAATTTATAAACAAGAAAAGAGATTTGGATATTATACAATTAAATATTGAACATTTTATTGTTTATAAATCTACGAAATGAAACCTCAAAATATACATTTATTGTCTTAAAATAGCATTTCAAAACCTTCGTGCAAGATTTCAAATGTAATTGGATATTTTCTTCGATGTCTACATACTTAATAATATTCAACCCAACAGCTTTTAAGAGAATGAAAAAAATAAGCCTGCGACGTGACAATAGAACAAATGAAATGTAACATAAGGGATATACTAAAACAGAACTTGGTAACACAATTGGAATGTATACACACCAGATTAACAATCTGATACAATGTTAAAAAGCACATTATAGAAAACCCACTCCGATGCATGGTTCACTGGATAAATACTTTGGATACAACATTAAAATTGTACTTAAATGTATAAGACACATGATTCTTATTTTATACACATCAAAAGCATCGTCTGTAAAATAACCATGATAAAAATGTATTTTAGTACAATGCTTATAAGCACTATAAACTTAAATCATAGAAAATCCTTCCTATGCATTCCTATGAATACTGTATAGGCTTACATAGTGTATCTGAGTGTGATTGTTTTCTTATTTTATTGGTATTTGTATAAGCAAAACGTGTTGTAGAGCACTCTGTATATTGCAATTTATTAGTATTCAATGGACGCCAGTGATAAAAGTCACAAAGGTATTTGAGAGGTGCATAAATTAATTTAAAAATCTTGCACGGCGTAGTTACAATTAATATGGTTATAAAATCCTGTCTGTCTGGTTTTTTTCGGACTTTGCTAAAGATTTGACGTATTTGTTGTTTTTAACATTTTCGGTAACTAAATAAAAATTAAAAAAAAAGCAAAAACAATTTGGTTTTCACGTGTAATGGCGACATAAACAATGGCATCCGGCTATTCGATAGGCCGGCATAAATTTTATTGTACACATTGTAAGCTAAAAATAGAAAACTAGGTCATGGGGTTTTAAATTTGCATTGTTATTTAAAAAACTTGATCTGCAAAGTTTTGTAAACAAATAGTTATCGATCACTAAGTTACTGTACAGCCAATCAATATTTGTCTTACGAAAGTGAAACATCCGGTTAAAACTTAGGCTTGATGAAAATAAATAGAAATGTAGCCTTAAACTCAACAAATTATTTTCAAGTTCTCTGGATTTGCAACTTTTATAGCATTTATTCTAAAAATATAAAATTTCTAAATTAATTTTAGGCTTAAGTTTTTATTTTTTATTTTTTTTTACGGTCTAAATCTAAAAAGCACGTTTTTATTCCATGTCAACAATCCTATGGAAGGAATCTCGTCAACTCGCTTGTCTCCATTTATTTTACATTGTCTTTCTTCATTTAGTTCTGAATTCATCATAATATGTTTCGTCAGATTTAGATTCTCTCCACTACAAGACATCTGTGTTTGTATCCCATGGTTCTTGCAAGGTCGCCACAGGTAACTGCCGTTAGGATCATGCATTATGTTTGTACCTGCTTTTATATTGCATGGAATGGCCTTGTCGAGTGACGTTGTTTGACGTAAGTTGATGCTTTGCCCTGACGTTGTTTGAGATGCGTTAACGCTTTGAAGGTGACGTTGTGTGACGTGAGTTGACGCCTTGCCATGACGTTGTGTGACGTGAGCTGACGCTTTGCCATGACGTTGTTTGAGATGCGTTAACGCTTTGCCGTGACGTTGTGTGACGTGAGTTGACGCTTTGCCGTGACGTTGTGTGACGTGAGCTGACGCTTTGCCATGACGTTGTTTGAGATGCGTTAACGCTTTGCCGTGACGTTGTGTGACGTGAGTTGACGCTTTGCCATGACGTTGTGTGACTAGAGCTGACGCTTTGCCATGACGTTGTTTGAGATGCGTTAACGCTTTGCCGTGACGTTGTGTGACGTGAGTTGACGCTTTGCCATGACGTTGTGTGACGTGTGTTGACGCTTTGCCGTGACGTTGTGTGACGTGTGTTGATGCTTTGCCGTGACGTTGTGTGACGTGTGTTGATGCTTTGCCATGACGTTGTGTGACGTGTGTTGACGCTTTGCCGTGACGTTGTGTGACGTGTGTTGATGCTTTGCCGTGTCGTTGTGTGACGAATAGGTCAAACAGAACGGAAAAGGCTAGAATATGATGGTGGGTAATCGTCAGACATCCGGAGGTTATTTTGTTGACCTCTTTCGTTCAAGTTGGAGTCGTTTCGATATGACGTTGTGTGACGAAGAGGAATGTTTGAGATGAGGGGAAGTGTACTGAAAGAGGTAGTCGACTGAGACAATATGGACTCAGTCTGTGTTTCTGTATGATGCAGATTCGGAGATTGCTCAACCGTGAAGATGGTGTTTGTGCCTCGGTTACGCATGGTGCGAGTATGTGCTGTTCTGGTCTTTACTTTTCGTCGTTTGCAAATGGAAGAACAGCAAGCCGTACAAAATATCAAGATAAACAGCAACCCTCCAATTGAAGGTACAACTATAAAAGGAATATCAGAGCGATCGAAGTAAGATTTGTCTGAAGAATATGTTGGAGGAACTGTGGAAAAAATAAAGCATCAGTATGTGTGATAAGAAAACTCTAATTACTTTGAATACATTTTGTTAATGCTGATATTAAATAATTTGTTCAAGTTAGTAATTTTACTTTAGTTTTTTTTTTAATTATGTTTTTTTATACTATGCACAGCGAAACAGTAGAGTGATTGTCACTTGGTGTTTTTAAAACACTCATCATTTATAAAGTACCCTTGCTGGGTAAAACGAAACAATCTATTCACTAAACTGTGTATTGCGTTTGATAAAAATATCCCACTATGTAGATACGTAAGTATTGGGAAATATATTCACCTCCAAATACAAAACTGCAGAAACAATTTTCAATTTCTAAACGTTGATCTAAGCCATATAAACAATTCAGCTTTATAATGTCCTTTGAAAGTTTCTCTACTTTCAGGGTGTATACCGTAGAGAATGGTTGATACAATCTTTTACTAAATCGCCTTGAGGCTTGATAGTTTGCTGAAAATAATATGTTGATTTATTAATTGTGTGCACACAATTTTTTTGCAATTCAAATATAATCTTCAATGTGTATTTTTTTTTAAATAATAAAAAGAGCACACCACTCAGTCTCTCGTGGAAGATATGCACAAACATACTTAAATCTTACTTTGATCGTAGTGTACTCGACAATCCGAACGGATACCACAGGTCGCGATGTTTTTAATTGTTCCATTGACTGTTATTAAATCCCACGTAATATCTCCATTATATGAGGCATTTAATTCAACTTCACAAGTAACCGGCTCTCCTACTTTTACATAATATATGCCAGCCAGACAAAAAAATACTGAAAAAAGATATATTTCTTAGTATTATTTCTTCTGTAACATACTTATATGTATATATATATATATATATATATATATATAAATTTATTTATTTATTTATATATATAAATATATATATTCTGAAAGTCTAGAAGCATCAAACAGCAAGGACATGGGCGGGTGTACTTTTCGTCATAAATCCACTAAATCATCGATTTCCCACTTTTACTTGATCTATACAGAATAACCATCGTTGAATCTAAAAATGACATTGTTATGACCCTAAAAACAGTATTTATTTATAAAAAACCGGGTTCAAAGTAGTGTGTACAGGGTCATTTGTTAATGTTTTTGTAAAAATAGCCATTTTTCGACCTAGAAAAGTACTATTAGGCTTCACGGAAACCTAATGTGTTTCATATCAATGGAAAGGCCGTGACCTCCTTTCTTTATTTGTTCTAAAATTAAAGGACCAATCAAAATACTTATTTTAATGTGATTATTTTTCTACGTCATAAAGTTGTTTATTTTACTCAGTCGGGTTTTTCCGGTATGCAAATTTTTGACCTCAATTTTTTCATTGGCGTTCAACGGCGGAAGCTAGTTAGCGATTGGTCGTTTCGCTTCGGAAGTAAACATTCCCTTAGATTCAGCGCGTTGCTAAGTTTGATCTAGTTTTGTTTCTCTAAGCTTCTGTGAAATACTTACATTATTTTAACATATAATTATTTCAATTAAATATACTATTAACAGTTTAGATTAGTTTGTGTGAATTATCATAAGCAGTGAGACGATTTAATTTGTTTCTCTTTCGATAATGGGTAGAACAAAACACTCGCTAAAAATAGATACACACAAACATCTAACTAATTTACTAAAGCAAGGGCACGTCCGAATGCAACTGATTGCAGCTACCTCTACTCAATCTAGCACTATTCAGACAAGCACTGGTGCAGATGTAATATGCACATTTAGTAAGAAACTGCGACAATGTAAGACACAGTTTTTACAGACATAAGAAAGCACTGTTACATCTAGTACTGGTAGTGCTAATCTAATTGTAAACCACAGCCATGCAGAATTATTGTCAAATGTGATTTGCTTCTTGATGTTATCAATACATTTCCTCGCCCACTGTGATGTAGTGGCTACTATTGATGAAAACAGTGTAAAGGGTTTGCTTCAAGCATGGCGTGGCAGTAATAAAAATGTTATAAACCGTAAGTATACAAATGCAAAAGAATCCAGAACAAGGCCATTCACAATAAACAAAGACATCGCGTCTTATCATAATTGGCTTTAGCAGTGGCGTAGGCAGGGGGGGGGGGTTAGGGGGGGGGTCATAACCCCACCCCCCATAGACCCCTCGGTATATATAATCAAAAGTTTGAGGGGGGGGGGTGCAAATCGCAAGTTTGGGGGGGGGGGGGGGCAAATGGAAAGTTTGTCCCCGGGTAAAAATAGGAACCCCCCCCTTGAGACGATCCTGGCTACGCCACTGGGCTTTAGACATGAGACCATCCAAAATATACTGCTGTTTCTGCGATAGCATAATTCAATTTTGGGCCCAGGCATGCTATGGCATTGCTGTCAAAAGAAGGAAACCATAGTCGAAGACTCAATGAAGGACGCCAAAAAAGACGCGTTGACAACAGCTTTTCTACAGCTCTAGGTAAAACAAAGAGCGCCAGAAAAAAGAAAACTAACAGCTGAACAAGCTCAGAAGGAATATATTCAGCAGCACCATACTTCAGGCTATGAATGTGGTCGATTTTAGTGACATACAGCTGTAAATTTTCATTTTTTGCAACTTTTTGTTGGTTTTTTGCGTTTTTCTCAGTTTGGTGTTTTTTGTACAATTGTTGAAATAACTTTGTTAATAATTATCAGAACTGAACTAAATTTGCTCCAGTTACTCTGTATATATGTTCAAATAAAACGTATTGAACACTTTTGGAATTTTTGTAAAAAAATTTTTTTTATTGTTTAAATAGTTTAAAAATTGGACGAAATAATGACATTTTTACAGTGATGTATCGAAAAAAAAAGTAAAAAAAAACCTATCTTCTTTTTTAAAAATGTAATCAATAAGAAGTCTTAAACACATGTGTCTGCAGATTATATTAAGTTTTCATGAAATTTGTACAAACCATTTTTGAGTTATTTCCATTTAAAAATCGTCAATAAAATCCAATATGGCCGCCGTCACCATGGCAACGGAGGATTTAAAAAATGAAAAAAAATATTTTTATGCTTATCTCTTTGAGTTATAACTATTAGCCAAGTATTACATCTTTAGACTTGGAAATAAAGAAGTTGGTACTCATCACCCGCCCGTTTAACAAGTTTAATATTCAATTTTCTACAAGGGAATTAAAATAAGTGAGGAAAGCGTGGTAAAATAAACTTAGACATATGCTGCGAAAACAATTACGTGAAAACATTGATACATTATCAAACAATATGTAACTTCAACTACATTAAGTGAAATTATTTTAATTGTGAGAAAATGTGTAGCACATAGAGCAGTGGTTCCCAAACTTTTTCGAGTTGTGACCCCCTATTATAAAAAGTAAGTGACCCACGACCCCCATAGAATGAAGAAGTCGAAATTAGTAGGGAAATTAACAAGCACTAAAATATAAATATTGGTATAGGTGTAGTTCTTATTATTCTTAGACTATATTAGCAGACGTAGCAATAATTTCACAGATGATTGTTATCTTAAACAACGAAGCATACTTCATAAATAACCAGATTTAGATTAGCACACAAATCTACACACCATTCGATCAACTGCTAGTTCTAAAATATGAAAGTTGTACTGATTCTGTTTACATTTAAAGAAGTGCAAGTTAAGCTAGGGGCAACGTTTTTGAGAACATGAGCAGAAATCACTGTCTATTGTTACTAAGCAGTGTAAAAATAATACTTACCCGTGCAGCTATGCAGCCAAATAAAAAATAGTATGTACTTCATTTATCTTGCGTTGTTGAATATGGCAAATGTGTGGAATTGTGTTTTTATAATCAGTAGTAGTGTCTGTGTGAGAAATGGAGTGTAAGTAGGATAGTAACAAACATATTTTACTAATAAATCAATTTAACTTAAAGCTAATTGATCTATTCATTTGAGAGAAAACTAAGCTGACATATATTTTGTAAGGTAATTTTCAGTTGGTAAATTTAATATAATGTAAACTGATTTACCACTCAAATAGTTAACTTACTTTTGATAAAGTATAAAAAAAGAAAACTTTATAAATAATTAAAAAAAAACTAGTATAATGAATTAATTAGGTTAATTCAAAAGCTAAGTTTAAAATATTAATGATAATCGACACACATTTATACTAATTTACTTCAAATACGCCAACACATTGTTGTGCATATTTTTAAATCTGCCCAAAAGGCACAAAGTAGTTTAAAATTATTTTGCATTAAATATTAAATGTATTACAAACATTAAACTAAAGTTATTACTTGTTGAATGCAAGTTTAAAATGATTTTTCTTAAAACGCATCCCTATTTATATAAACATTTATATATGTAATTCTTGAAAAGTTTTTTGATGTCAAATTCATCTTAAGAAATTAGAAACATAACAACTACCAATACATTTCTCGGCTTAAAGGTTTATTTTTATAAATCATGGAGGAAAATAGATATCATCAAATTTCACTAGTTAGGTTACTGGCAATAAATACTGAGAATATACCGCACATATTTTGTAAATGCTTTAAAATTCTTAATCTAATAACATTACGTGACTAAAAAGAATTGAGCATCTAATAAATACAAACGAATATGCGTAAAATATCGCGAAAATGTGTGATTTATTTTGGAAACTTTAATTAAAAAATTAAAAACTAATGAAACATACAAACAAGTCGCATAATCATCGGGTTTTGACCCCCCATTTCACGGTTAACAGAAATCTGTATGTTAGAAGTGGTCTATATTTCCCTCGCCCGTTTTGACCAATGATGAAGGACGACAGACAAAAAAAAAAGCACGACAGACAGACAAAACAAGAAAGTCCAATAAAAACTTGTAAATAGAAGGATGAAGTAAGTTTAAATAAAAGCGTGTAACAATGTATATTACGGGAAACCTTTTCAAAAGGTTTATTTTGTAAAGTTTCAAGTATGTTTCAAGACCGATAGACAGTAATTCTCACGACTGACGATGAATGAAGGACCTCAATTTTAAATGTGCAGCTATTTTCCATACATTTGATATGAGACAAACTTCAGTTAAGGTCAAATATGTGTACTTAGATTAGTTTAAAACTATGGGTCGAGTACCATATCGATAAGCAACATATTATTCCTTTGTATAATATGTTAACTTTTAGAATACAGATAAGGCAATAAATGTTATTAACACCTTTACTTGAGAGAAGTAAAAAAATTAATTAAATGGGGGGGGGGGGGCAAGTTAAGTAGAGTTATCCTGTTTATGTGACTCCGGCATATGAAAGGATAGTGTTGTCAGCACTATAGTCAGCCGCCTTTACTGTCCCTAACATGAGCTACTTAACAATCAAAGCTGGGTGGATCCTGGTAAGAACTACTGACTTGAACCTGGATTTCCTTATTTAAGAAGAGAGTTAGTTGAACACATAAACATATAAAACATATTAAAACTAAACCGGGCTGGTTGTTCTATGATTTAACATGAAGATGACTTACGTGATTTTATTCCTACTTGTTGATACCGCTTCGATTATTTACGCAGGCAGTTTCGTCATTTGTAGCCTACCTAGCTGGTAACCATCACCGCAAACTGTTACGTCAATAAACTATAAATAAACCAGCCAAACGAGTCTGACGGTGTGATTATGGTTTCTAAATGTTTTATGTATGTCGCAATACCTGTTTGTTTGTGTGTTGGTTGGCTTGTTGGGTGTGGCAACCCACTTTTAATGCAGCGGTTTCGTTCACGTTTACACAGTAAATTCGTTTCTGGTGACAATGTAGGAATATCTATTGATTCGTGTATTTAAACATTAGGTTAACCATTACAATTCAATTTAAACAACTAAAGCCATCTATAAAAGAGTCGATAACAAGATTAACTACTAGCCATAGCTCAAGAAGCTGGCGTCCACTGAACAGTTTTTCCACCTCCGTGCTTTTTTTTTTTTTTTTTTTTTGTTTTTTTTTTTTTTGTTTTTTTTTTTGTTTTTTTTTTTTTTTGTCGACTACGAATAAGATAAGGCAGATAATTGACTTTTGGAGATCTCAGATTACCAGTGTTTCTTCCAGACTGTTAAAAGTACATATTTTCTATATAAATTTCATTTCGTTCAGGGGTAAGGGCGGTAGACTTTCTTCGGGGGGGGGGGGGCGGAGAGATACCTGAAAGAAACTCTGCAGATTACTGGTGAGGTTTTACCGCTACTATGTTTAGTCTTAGCGTATGTGTTTTCAATTTCATTTATTACTAATTACCAAAGAGAAGAAAATAAAGCAAATTCACGTATCATGATTTGCTTTTAAATGAACTGAAAATAAGAAAACGAAACAATCTTGCTATCTTTAATAAAAGATCATTCACATATTTTAGCGACCAATGCTTTCATAAAAGACAACACATGCATGTGATCTATTTGTTTTATGTGTGGTTGCTAATATGTTACGCTATCCTGTTTGTGATCAATTAGAAATATGTATTATTTTATTTCAATCATTTAAAGTCATGCTCCAATTACAGTCTCGCTAAAAATGTGACTTTATTTTGTGTGCTTTATAATAATAATACTCACAAATTAAACACATTAACAGATACAATTGACGCTTTTACCCCAGTGTTTCTTCCAGAATTTTTTTTACTTTCTCGTATACAGAGCATAGAGAAAGTATTTTTGGAAATCTCGACGTTTTACACCTCCCTGAGTCGGAAAAAACATAATTTTGCAATCTTGTCCCTATGTCTGTGTGTGTTTGCGTGTATGTGTGTGTGTATGTTTGTCTGTAAAAAGGATAACTTTAATACCGTTATAGATAGGTTGATGAAATTTTATATATATATATATATATATATATATATATATATATATATATATATATATATATATATATATAATATAAAATTTAAAGTTATGTATTAACTGTTCAGCGATTTCCGATAACCGGACGTGGAGCTTTGTCTACTATCAATTTTTCAAAAGCACATAACTTGAGTAGTATTTCAGATAGAGAAATGAAATTTTACATGTAAGTAGAGGATCTAATTATACTTTCTATCAAATTTTGAGAATTTTCCGGTACCGGAAGTAGTTATTTCGGCTATTTCCGATTTCTCAAAAACGCATGTAAATTTATAAAGTACTAATAATATTCCGCACTATTATACACATTTTATTTGGCGTTCACTTGGTGTGCAATTCTTTTTCTACGCGATTCTATACTATTTTAAGTAATTAAAAATGGATTTAAAATATTGTCTATATCCCGAGTTGCCATAAGAATATAAGAATATAATTCAGGGGTGGGGGGGCGGCGGGGGGCGCTTCCGCGAAGAGATGCCTGGAAGAAACTCTGTTCTACCCATACCAAGAACTAAGGTATCTAGAAACGTCTATTGCATCTGAGATCGTCTTTTATTGTCTGAAAGGCAGCAGAAGTAGCTTTGATTTGCAGTAAATATTAATTAATATGTTTCGTTTTTGTTTAAAATCTAATTGTAATGGGTTTGTATTTTTAACGGTTCCCTTGGTGCACCAATAAAATATATTCCTATGTTTTTGAATTTGAAAACAAATAAAAAAAATTCTATTAAGAAGGGTTGGGTGAATACGTGCATCAAGATGGTGGTTTGTGGTACCTCCAAAAAGGTTAAACACCACTTAAAAAAACAATATATAAACGTGTTCGCACATTTTTTACTTTCTCGTATATACGAAGTATAGAGAAAGTATTGTAATCGTGCACAAAAATCACTTGAAATTTTAACAATTTTCACCGTATTACACCTCAGTCCTTCATCACATCCGAAGTATAGAGGACTTATTTTAATCGGGCAAAAATTATCAATCCAGATTTATCAAAATTAAGAGGTTTTATGCGTAATCCAGTCTGAAAAACTGGGCTTTGCAATTTTGTCCGTATGTCTGTGTGTCTGTGTGTGTGTGTGTGTGTCCGTGTGTAAACACGATAACTTGAGTACCGTTACAGCTAGGTTGATGAAATTTCATATATAAGTATTTTATCAAAATCGTAGATCCGTATCAACTTTTGAGCGATTTCCGATAACCGGAAGTGGTACTTTTTCTACTTTGAATTTTTCAAAAGCCTATAACTTGAGTACTATTTCAGATAGATAAATGAAATTTCACACGTAAGTAAAAGATCTAATTCTCTACCTTCTCTCAAATTTTGAGTAATTTCCGTTGAACGGAAGTAGTAATTTACGCTACTTCCGATTTCTCAAAAACCTAATGTAAATTTTTAAAGTACTAATAATATTGCGCACTATTATGCACTTTTTTATTTGGCGTTCACTTGGTGTGCAATTATTTTGTCTACGAGATTTTATTCTATTTTTAAAACTTTAAGTCTTTAAAATGAATTAAAAATCATGTCTATAGCCCGAGTTCCCATCCCCTGTTGTTTTATATAAGAATATTCGAGAAAGTTTAGGGGAGATCACTCCCGATTTATTTTATTTACAGTAAACAAAAATATATTAAACTAGAAATAAGTTGTTTAATAAGTTTTTTTTTAAGTTGTGGCAATGATATATTATTATTTCTAGCTTCAAACCATTACAAATTAAAATGATTTTTTTTTAAATTTGAAAATTGAGCAGAACAATAGGCCTACAAAATTAACAGAATTTTAATTTATACGCCCAAGACTTAGCCAACAGAAAACATGTTAAAAACACATAATGTAAATCCAATCAAATGCAAAAAGCACTGAAGACTTTCACTACAACAGTCATACAAAGTACTTACATTTATAACCAATATGATGCTTAACTTTGAAAACAAACTGATACATTTTTGAAAACCATTACCAGTAAAATAATTATGATGAAAATAACAGTACAATGGTTTGGGGGATGCTTTGGGTTTGAGTAAGGCTGTGTTTTGGTGCCAGCTCTTCTTAGCTGTTTATACTGGTGAGTTCAGTTGACCCCTGGAGTAAGATTAAAGAGGAGAACATTCGAGTAGCGTTTTAGAGGACACTTGTTCAATGAATATTTTTAATGTTTTTTTTTTTAAATATAATATAAGACATAGTGCTGAGTGCACAGATCAGGAAAACTGTATTGGATAATAATAATAATACAATTTATTATATATCAGTAACATAAGAGGATTTTACATTTCAGCCGCTATTAATAAACATTAAAAATATAAGATTAAAATAAAATATATATTTAAGGCATTTAAAATATGGAATGAATAAATAACAGTTTAAAGGTTAAATATGTGGTGAGAAGAATTCGAAACAAAATAGTTAAAATGAGAAGTTATGCGATGAATCAGTTTAGAAGGTTTAAAATAGTTGTTTTTTAGGTTTTTTTTTAAATAATATATATTATTATCGTATATGGCACCATTAAACTAAGGCCACAATTTCATTTTGCTTTGTCTCTTTGTCTGATAGAAATATTGTATGTGGGGAAGTTATTAGAGTATAGGATGGCGGATGAGTAATAGGGAAGTTGAAATGAATTTAAAGTTTAAATATGGACTACTGTATAGGATGGGGGATGGGGCATCTGTGTATCTGGCTATATATATATATATATATATATATATATATATATATATATATATATATATATATATATATATATATATATATATATTTATATATATATATATATTTATTTATTTATTTATTTATTTATTTATTTATTTATTTATTTATTTATAAATAATAATTAAACATTAATACAATGTTGTGTCCATATGTTCCTATATTCGTACATCGTTTTTTTTTTTAGCTTGTTAAAGTCCCCCATCTATTTGATCGGTTAAGTCTTAAGGCCATCTACAGAGCCGGATTAGCAAGCTGTTGTAGCTCTCGTGTCTGCACGGGTAACTGACACGTTGGACAAACCGTACGCAGAACAACGTTTGTATCTGTGGTGTTGTGACACCTGTGAGCGATGTCTAGTGATATGAGCAGACGTGGATGGACGTTCTGCGGGCACGTTGTCTGAAGCGGCTGGACGTTATGATGCGATGTTGTTTGACGTCTAGGTACTCCATCAGACGTGAACACACTTGAATAAGACGGCGGGTCCTGGCTATGTTGTCGATCTCTCTGATTCAGGTGTTTACGTGAGGCTGTGGGACGACCGTGAGTACTTGTGGGGAGATGATGGACACAGGGCGAGGTATCCGTGTTGGAAGATGTTTGATTGCCTGCATGACGCTCACGCTGAACTGTGAAAATGGAGCTCTGGCGTGTCTGTGCGCTCCTGTTTTTAATTCTTCTGCGTCGCTTACGTATGCAGCAGGTAGCTATTAATACTATAATAAGGACGCCAACTCCTAGTGGAATAGCTATTTTCAGAATAAGGAAAATGTCCACTGTGGAAAATATGACAAGCATTATTTTTAGTTATTAGTTGCAATACTCATTATATTACATATTTTGAAATGTATTTTCTATTCAATCTAGTTATTATATTTTATATTTTTTTACATTTTTTGAGTCTGTTATACGCAAAACTTATTTCAACACAACTAATATAATTAATTGTGTACATAAAAATGCAGTTTTTTTTAAATTTTATCTGCATAGCTCACATACCTTTGCTGATAAATGTGGATAATCTTTACATTGAAATATATTGCAATATTTTTTTTTTATAAAAATACACCTTACTAATCGACTTAACAGTATTAGAGAATAGATTTACCTCCAAAATCAAAGCTGCATGAACAATCATCATCACGTTGAAAAAAACCATACAAACACTTCAGCTGTCCCATTTCCCTTGTAAGGTGATTTACTTTCAAGCTGATTGACCAAACATTAGTACGAAAGAAATTGTGAACACCTATAACTGTATTAGACGCATAAAAGTTTGCTGAAAATAGTAAGAACATAGTTTTGGTCAATGATTTACATTATCTATAACACAATTACACACAAACACACGCACAAACACACATCGACACACACACACACATATATATATATATATATATATGTATATATATATATATATATATATATATATATATATATATATATATATATATATATATATATATATATATATATATATATATATATATTCATATATTCATATATTCATATATTTATATATATACTTATATTTATATTTTCATATACTTATATATTTATATATAGTAACAATAATATTTTGCCGCGGTAATGGTAAGGGGGCAAGCTACTCTGCATTTTATTATGTAACATTTTTTTTCCAGAACTATTTTTTTTATTGTATCATCTTCGAAGACAGCGTCGAGAAAGAAACTGCCACCAAAATAGCAATGGCGGCACAGGCTTTCAACAGACTTGCTTACATCTGGAAATTATCCTCGCTGCAACAGAGAACTAAATAAGGATCTACAAGTCTAATGTACGTTCTGTACTTCTCAATGCTGAAGAGTCATGGAAACTAAACAAGAAAAGAGAGGGCCGACTCAGAGGCTTTGAATGAAGATCCCTCCAACGTATCCTCAGGATAAAGTGGGACGACAAAGTCCCGAACAAGGAAATACGACGAAGGACAGGCTTAAACGACATTGCCTTTCAAGTACGAATAAGGAGATGGCGATGACTAAGTCATGTCCTTCGGATGAACAGAAAAAGAATCACGAACACAGCGCTAAAATGGACCACCAGGAAAACAAAAGAGAGGAAACCCACTGGGAACATGGAGGAGAGTGATGGAAGAAGAAGTGCAGGCTACTGGCAAGACCTGGCATGAACTAAAGTGACTCGCCCAAGACAAGGTGGAATGGAGTGATGAGGATTAAGTAAGTACGTAAAATGATATTATAACAGCTTGCTAAATAGAAATATTTTGTTTACGTTTCTTATCATTATTATCTTAATGACGAGTTATTCGATTTTTTTTTCTAAATTAAGGAGAGAAGTAAGAAATGTATGTCTGACGACGTAAACTGCATCAAATTTTTGGTTCCCCTGAGGTTGCATTAACATTTGAATACGAAATGGTTTACGTTCTATAAACACTTCCTTACAAGCTTAGATAGTAACTAATATATCTATTGAAAAAAAAAATTTCTAACACTAAAATACTTAGTCTATTATCTAACCGTAATCTTTTATACTTAGTGCTTATAGTAATATCAAATTATTTTGTGCACTCTATGACTCTCACTACAACCTACTTTTAGTTCTGGCTTCCATTGAGTTAGTTTAACCAAGAACATTTTATAAGATAGCCGTTTTGTTTCATTTTGATATTTTCTCTTCTTGATTGGTCGTTGTCGTCAGCTGATGAATATGATGTGCTTCGTGGTCCGAACTCGGGACTTAAGTGTTAGGGATCGTTTGTTTAACTACTAAACCACTTCTCTTCTACGCAAAAAAATAAAAAATAAAAAAAAAAAAAAAAAAAAAAAATAGAAACGTTGATTTCGTGTTAATTCCATTTATGGGTAACACCCATTTAAAAAAAAAAAAAAACGACGATCGTGAAAACGACTAAGTAAGTTTCGGGGATGTGATGTAGATCCGTTTCTTTAGTTCTGTATTTTGTTTTATATCTTGAAAAACAATTTTTTTTCGTATTTAGCGAAGCATAAAACGTAGGCTGGTTTATATAAGTATGTAGCTTGTAATAAGGCGTCTTTGAGAGTTTTCGTCTCTGATGTATAATACTTACATCTTACGACTTACAAATAAATATTGCATTTTAATAAAGAGTGTTTTATATAACTAGGAAGCTGTATGATTTCAAATTAGCTTACGAAATATAAAGACTCATTCTCTAGCCATTTATTGTGTACGTGTCCATACGTTGTTTGACTGTTCAGAATCGAAGAATGTATTTAATAAGCCACGCTTAGCCTAAGCCTATATCTATATATACATATATTTTTAAACGTAAAATAACTGAAAGAAATTTTTACCTTACATAAGGAACTAAATATAAACAGTACTAAATCTTACTTTGATTATAGATAACAAAACACGTTTTAGATTTATCACAATTGGCGATAGTAATAGTTGTTCCATTAGCTGTAATTAAATTCCACTGAACTGTCTCAAACCACGGCTCATTCTTTTCCATTTCACACGTAAATGAGTCTCCTTCTTTTACGTAATATGTCTCGGTATGAATAAAAGGTACTGCAAAAAAAAAATGCAAATATTGTATTGTTTAAAAAAAACACTATTAAGATATAAGTAATCAGGCGTACATATTTGATCAGTACTTTTATGTTTATACGTATGTACATGCGTATGCGTTTGCGTTTGAAATATATATAACAACACATTATATTGGATTAGCACATGTATGTCTACACATATGCGAATGAGTATGCGTTAACGTATGAAATATATATCTCAGTACACGATATAACAAGGTAACTGAAATAGGAAGGGGATTCTAAGCTGGATATTGAACTTTTTTTTAATAACACGTAGCTTGGAAAGTAATCTTTACCTATGCAGATAAGCAGCCAAATATAGCACACACTGTGTTTCATTTCTGTTGCCTTGTATGCTGACTGGAAGAAGAGGATAGTGTTTATTAAAATCATTAGCAGTGTCGAAACGATAATAGGACAAATATAATTTATCATCAAACGATTGTTTTTACTCGAAGCAGGATCTTAATAAAAACAATTAATTAGTTTAAGTTAATAAAACCCTTATTAAAAAGCTAAATTTCATAAAAATTTATTGTTATATAAGTGAATTTAACATAATCAGAACTAAGAAGTTTAACCAGAAAAAAAAATCCCAGAAAGGGTTAACTTACTTTTAATAAGGTAGGAGCAGCAACAGTTTTCATAATACTAAATTAAAGCGTGAATGTACATATGCATATTACACAAAAACTGCTTTAAATCAAATTATAAGGTTACTTTAAAAAATCAAGGTTAAAAAAATACGTAACATGATCGACAGGCATAAATTAAGTTGTCACAGTAACGTTCCTGTTTTTAAAACAACTGGCGTAAAAGTATATAACAATAATTAATTAACAATTCTCTTTATATAAGTTAAAACCTAATACTTGTGTTTTAGATATAAATAACAATTTTTTATGTTTTATACTATCACACGATTTTGATTTTAAATCCACGAAATGACATTTTAGCAAACACAGTAGGAAAGACTTCATTTTTTAAATTTTATTAAAATATTGAAAATAATTCGAAATGTTTTTGCTTAAAACCTGGCCGTTAAAATGTCTAGCGTTGAAGTCATCTTAAATGTTTTTGAAAAAATATTTTGTGAACCTGTTGTAATATACGTGATAATATTCCATGTCGGTAGATAGGGAGACGAAAAAATAAACTTACTAGAATATTTAGGAAAATATATTTGTAGATTAAAATTTCGATAACAAAGATTTAATAAACCGGGAGTGATCTCCCCTAAACTTTCTCAAATATTCTTATATAACTTGGAATATAGACATGATTTTTAATTACTTAAACTTTTAAAAATAGAATAGAATCTCATAGAAAAAAGAATTGCGCACCAAGCGAACACCGAGACAAAATATGCATAATAGTGCGCAATATTATTAGTACTTTATAAATTTACATGCGTTTTTTGAGAAATCGGTAATAGCGTAAATTAGTACTTCTGGTAAACGGAAATTACTCAAAATTTGACAGAATGTAGAGAATTAGATCTTTTACTTACGTTTGAAATTTCATTTATCTATCTGAAATAGTACTCAGATTATAGGCTTTTGAAAAAAATCAAAGTAGAAAAAGTACCACTTCCGGTTATCGGAAATCGCTCAAAAGTTGATACGGATCTACGATTTCGATAAAATATTTATATATGAAATTTCATCAACCTAGCTGTAACGTTACTCAAGTAATCGTGTTTACACACAGACATACACACACACACACACAGACATACGGACAAGATTGCAAAATTATGTTTTTCCGTATCAGTGTGGTGTAAAACGTCGAGATTTGTAAAAATCTCGATTTTTTTTTTTGCACGATTACAAGACTTTCTCTATACTTCGTATATACGAAAAAGTAAAAAGGAAGCGAAAAGTATTAGGTACAAATTAGTTAATTAGTTTATATACAAAAGAATACGACGAAAAGTTTAGTTTGAATCTTAACTTGTGAGTTTAATTTAATTTTCACAATACTTCCGACTTGTCTAGATCTATTTATAGTAACGTAAACAAGCTATTGAATTTCTCCCGGTGTTGCATATTGATTTAAATTATGAAGTGTAGTTGTGTTCATACATTTGGTGTAAGATCATTATCATTGTTGTTTTGTTGCTTTAGAATGTGTGTGTCTGTGTGTGTACTTTGGACTAACTTAACACAGTACAATCAGCTGTGCTATGTTGTGTATTCGTGTCAGACGGTTCATCTAGTTGTTTGTTTGTTTGTTGTTCTTTTTCAAATCGGCTAATGAAGTCTAAATGGGTGCGTCTATGATCTATTGTAAATGTTAAATAATTAGAAAAGTCAATTTATTTTATTTTGACAAACAATAACAAATATGTTTCTAATCTTTTAATTACTTAATTGACCGTATACAGCTAAGCAAATTATTCTTCTGATAAAATAAAAGAAAATTGTTTTAAAATTCAGTTTAGATATAGTAAGGTTATGTTTATTTTGTAGTTGTAAAACCTGAATTAGGTCGAGATTTTAGTATTAATACATCACAAACATTGACGTTGAATGTAATAAACTGTTCTAAAATGTATCATGAAGTTGACTTACCTACACTTTGCTTAAATCTCTAAAACTGCCTAGACTGCGTCCTAGCAAGTAAACATCTACACTGCCTGTTACGTCACCACAATAAAAATATACTAGTCAAAACCGGTTTGACAGTCACGGCTCAATGAATACAGTGGGGTCGTTTGTTGTGATAAAAACGCTTCTCTGTTATGTTGTTAAGGAATTCCTGTTAAGGATTTAAATCAATAATAAGATTATTATTGCAACTTTAATAATTACAATTAAATTAAATTAACAGTATATTAAAATGTGAGTTAGAATTTATTTTTACATGTAATTTTTGACATGCTTGTTGTCATCTGTTGTAAATATTTTCGATAAATATTGCTTTAAATTGTTAGGTCGGTAAAACTAAGTTTTATCATAATAAGCTGACTAATAAATATATATCAAAGGGTAAATGTCTCTGTGTAGCAGATCGCAAGGACTTTAGCGAAATTAATAGTAGGCCTATATTTAACAGTGCGTTATAATGTATTTTTAAATGTAATTTTTGGACGTGTTTGATGCTAATATTTCTTTAAATTATTTTGTCAATAAACATAAAATTTCTCAATTATAAGTTAACTTATGAATATATTATCTATGAATTAATATCTCAGGGGAGCACATCGCAAGGACAATATGATTGGATAATAATGAAGATTTAATTACAAGTGTCAGATTGATCAGGCACATTTAATTCATTTAACTTTCTCGTATAGAGACTGGTTAGCCTAGCAGTAGAGAGCTAGGCTGCTAACATAAAAGTCTCAAGTTCGAATCCGGGGTTAAGTCAGGAGACCTACCATGAGTCCACCTTGATGGGTACCTAACTCACGTTAGTAAAACTAAAGGCTGGGCATAGTGCTGACAAAATTATAGCTTCATATGCCGAGATCAAAGAAACAGGTGAACTCTACTTTACTTGCCCCATAGACCATCGTGTTTGGAAGGGGAAATGAACGTTTACTTTCTCGTTTACAGAGTATGGATAGAGTATTGTAATCATGCTGATTAACAGATATTTTGAAAGATTTCGCAGTTTTACAGCTACCTAATGTAGCAAATATGGAACATACTTGATGAGTTGTAACAGTGAAAAAGTTATAAATCGAGATTTGTTTTATTAATTTAGCCGTTTTAAAACCTTCTGGAGCCGGCAAAGTTTAGTTTTGTTTTCATGTGTGTCTCTCTCGTTATCTCTTTCCCTTTCTCTCTCTCTCTCTCTCTCTCTCTCTCTCTCTCTCTCTCTCTCTCTCTGTGTGCATGTTTGTCTTTAAACACGATAACTTGAGTACCATTTAAATTGGGTATACAACACTTCACACAAAAGTATTCAATTGAATGTGTAGGTTTCTTTCGGGTTTTTTGAAAGATTTCCAGGAACCGAAAGTAGTATTTTATTCTATTTCTGTGGTAACAGGATAACTTTATATATTCTTTATACTATTTAGACTAAATTTGAATTATATGTGTAAGAGCTTATACCTGGTTCAGTTGTCAATTTTTTCGTGACCTCCGTCATCCGCAAGTGGTAATTTACTATTTTTCTAGTTTTTAAAATACCTATTATTTAAATAAAAAAGTTCCGTTAACTAGATGAAATTTTATTCTTAGGTACATGATCTTATTCGCCGGTTGTTGTTTTTTTTTGACACTAAGCTTCAACAAATTGTTTCTGGGAGAAAATCGTTATATTAGCATCTAAAAATAATCACATTTTAAGTACGCTATTGATCAAACTGATGAACCCGTAAGATTGAACCGATTTGAGTTTAAATTGCTTGAATGCAAACATAAAGGTTAAACGGACATTTTTCCAGCAAAATGTAATTAGGTACATTACATTAGTAAACAGGTGTTTCTATTAAGGTTATTGTGCTAAACATAGGACGCTGGTTCAACACTCGTTTTTAGTTCTACATCAGGCGTTAGGTTCAATGACTTTTATGGTAGTAAGAATAGCACAAATCTATAGCTAACCATAACAGCAGCATCAATCTTAACCCAAACTTTAAATCTACAGCTAACCCTAACACTAACGCTAACGCTAACGCTAACACTAACACCAACCCCTAGCCCTAGCCCTAGCCCTAGCCCTAGCCCTAGCCCTAGCCCTAGCCCTAGCCCTAGCCCTAGCCCTAGCCCTAGCCCTAGCCCTAGCCCTAGCCCTAGCCCTAGCCCTAGCCCTAGCCCCAGCCCCAGCCCCAGCCCCAGCCCCAGCCCCAGCCCCAGCCCCAGCCCCAGCCCTAGCCCTAGCCCTAGCCCAAGCCCTAGCCCAAGCCCAAGCCCTAGCAAACCCTTTTCCTAATTTATCTAAATCTGGGCCGGAATAATTGACTTGGGGAAAATTGAAATGGGTGATTATTGCTTCAGGGGGTAATGTCAAAGGAGCGGGGGGGGGGGGATTTCCGAGGGGGTGATAGATCGGTTGAGTTGGTGTCCTGCTTCCTTGATCTCACATACTTACTCTATGCTGATATTCAAATGGCGATTCCCACTGAAGAGAAGTGTAACGCTGATCTTAGTCAAATACATGATATTATTTGACGGATATTATTTTCTAGAACAAACGTAATGAATTAAACTAACTTCTTCTAAGATCGCAGTAACGCTCGATGGATCAGTTAATATCCTGATAATATACATTCAATGAAAAAAAGAATAACTCTACATCACTGTCAGTGAGAGTGTGTCAGTGAAAGAGTGATAGTGATATACTAACAGTGATTGCGTTAAAGTCATAGTGGCAGTGACATATTGAAATTAATATGTTGACGCCGAAGCGTTTTTTAAATTTTCTTCGTTAATGTCAATTATAGAGTTGGTAGGCGTCACATGGGGTATTAGAACCTGGGGTGTTTTTTTCAATGGTTAGTAATATACGGCTGGTGCAATGTATTGGGTAGTGTGTGATAAAACAACTAAGTCTATGAGCGGAGGGAGTTGGGCTAAGTGATACAGCATGCAGACCGTTTTCCTACGGATAACAAAGTTGTTGTGTACATTAAAGAAACTGTTTTCTAATTTAAAAAAATAGAATCCTTTGATAATAGCGGCAACTACATTAAAAGAATTTTAAAAGGAAATAAAGAACCATTTTTACTTAAGTTTATAAAACAAGCTGATATGTATATGTTTGTATAATTTTGTTTGTTGAATTTAAATCCAAAATCTGCTAAGTCTTTTTATATATATATATATAAACTAATCTGCACTAAACAGAATGCCTCGGGGATATTCATAACACTCTTCATGACATTAAAACTTTAATAATTTTGACATCATCAGTAAAATTAACTTGCTCATTGCACTCTTCATGACATTAAAACATTTATAATTTTGACATCAACAGTAAAATTAACGTGCTCATTACATTCTTCATGACATTAAAACTTTAATAATTTTGACATCATCAGTAAAATTAACTTGCTCATTGTACTTTTCATGACAATAAAACTGTTATAATTTTGACATCAACAGTAAAATTAACGTGCTCATTACATTCTTCATGACATTAAAACTTTAATAATTTTGACATCACCAGTAAATTCAATGTGGTCATAACAATCCATGTTGTTACCTATGCTGTAGCTATATTCGTTGTCTACACTTACCTGAAAAAAATATTTTAGGTTATCCCTTTACTAATGTATTAAACGATTCATAAACCTGCTATAAATATATGAATATACACGTTTTTTAAGTAAATAAATAAGCGTTGCTGCAATTAGTTTAATAGAGCGTGGAGCAAGCATTCTAATGTCTAATAACAAAAAAAATGGTTACAAAGTCACCAACATTCCAACGAAAACCATAAATTTACCAGAACACATTATCGAAATATTAAGACACTAAAGGCTACGACATATATTTCTTACCGCTTTTTTGCCCAAATTAATTCCGAATCTCCTTCATAAGCTAATATGTATTATGGTATTTAAAAAAAATATGAAACATCCTATGCGACCGTTACTCCAAAATACAACGTAAAATTCAATGTTATTCAAAATAACTAGTAACTTCGTTTCACTTCAATTTCACGCATTCTTGTATTATGGATGAAATTGTAATAGATAGATAAAAACCATTACAAAAAAAGTTACTATTACTTTTGCAATGGCTCATGAAGATCGAAATAGAGAGAGCTCATCGAAGAATTAAGTCACCTCTATGGCCTAGGCAGTATCATTGAACGATATAAAAGCTCAGATGCAAGTATAGGGGAATGCTAAGACAAATGAAACATTCGGCTACGGGAAGTTAAGGTACTTTTCTTTTATCTTTTTTTCATTCTTTGTATATTTTGTAGATTTTCTTTACTATTTTCTAATATATATATATATATATATATATATATATTATCTTTTTCACTATATATTCAGAAAGAGAACGAATATTAAGTATACAAGTATACATGTATATAAATGGAAAGTAACTTTTGTAGATGTGTAAAAAGAAATTATCAGAAAAAAGCCAGAAACAAATTTTTGACTAAAAAATAATATTGAATTATATGCACTAACACTAACGCTAACGCTAACGCTAACGCTAACGCTAGCGCTAACGCTAACGCTAACGCTAACGCTAACGCTAACGCTAACACTAACACTAACACTAACACTAACACTAACACTAACACTAACACTAACACTAACACTAACACTAACACTAACACTAACACTAACACTAACACCAACACTAACACTAACACTAACGTTAACTTTTAAAACAGCTCGATTACCGTGTGTGTATGTAGATTGGTAAAAATTGTAATCTTGAAAGTCTCGCTGATGTCAATAAGAAAAGAGCTGTTAAAAGGTCCACGTCTGCCCTCGTGTTGGTGGCTACTCGTCGAGTCTTTCCTTGCATCGGCCATATGTTTCGTACAAGAGATAACAATAGAAAATCTGTAGAAATGAAATTGAATATTTCTTTTAAATGTTGATAAAAATATCACAATTATACTTTACTTTTAATGTATACTATATATATATATATATATATATATATATATATATATATATATATATATATATATATATATATATATATATATATATATATATATATATATATATAAATGTTTAGATTTATATACATTTATATACTATTTCAAAATAAATATATTTGCATAGCGAATACATATTGCAATCTTTATTTGACCATGTTAACACAGCGAATCTAATAAACAATCATATTCTGCTGTACCCGGTTTTTTTTCCTGAAATTGGGTATCCTTGGACAATTATCTTCTCCCCTCCTGGTCGTTTTTCAATCTTCAAGCCGCCGGTCTTATATGGTGAGACATTAACATATCCGTATAAGTATGCATATATAATACCATTAGTGTGACCTATTTTAATCAACTAAAACATTTTTAAATTAAATTTTAAATTGAAAGAATACGTTACTTACTGGGTAGCTTGTCTGTGATATAAAAAACAAACGCTGTTAAGATTCTATACATACCGATACATATATTAGAAACGTAATTCTTGAAGTCTAACAAATTTTGTGATTTAGTAGAAATGAATAATAAGGCAGAGTCGGATATTTATTACATTAAGCTTGTAATAGTACACACAAACACACACACACACACACACACACACACACATATATATATATATATATATATATATATATATATATATATATATAATCATGTATAGTTGTAAAAACTTACAGAGAACAGAATCCAATCTATCACAACACTACCTTTGACCTGGATGAATTTGATATTGTGAATACTAGTCAGGAGTGTGTATGTGGTGAAGTGATGATCGTTCACGTAAATCTGAAAGTATTTTCCGATTTAAGGATGATTGAGATCGATGATTTAAATCTGTTTTTTTTTCTTTTTCGGGCTTTTTAAAAGGACTGTAATAAATGTCTTTCTAATGCTACACACCTCTCAAATTCAGCCTAATATAAGGTATTCACTCTGACATCTTTGTTTAAAAAATTACTGTCAACATTTAGACAGTTACAAGATATTATTTAATTGAATTTTTTTCTTCATATACATATGAAGAGGAGACGGGATGTAAGTACATGTATACCTACATAGAGACAGACAGAACGACGGAGATACAGACAGACAGAGAGACAAACAAACAGAACAGACAAACAGACGCACCAAGTTTTAAAGTTTCTGACTCAGGAATTAAAATTCTTCCGTTATACTTCGTGTTCGAGAAAGTAAAGAGAAAGTTCTAGTACATTAGGATATTTATTGTTAACAGATCTCTTTAAATTATTGATGAATAGTATTTGAGGAACTAGGCCGCACTATTTTTTAACATAACTCTATTTTACTACGATGAAAAATACTCCACGATTCAACTTAACTCATTGGCTGCCACTGTTGAAGTTTGAAACATTATAATGAGGAAGTCTTTCATCGGCACAGCATTAAGGGATATATATATATATATATATATATATATATATATATATATATATATATATATATATATATTCAGTATCTGAACACAGTTATAACATTTTTAAATATATCCTAAATATTTGCATTAAAAAAACAGACATTCTTGCATTGTTACTGGAAACGAAGTGCCTGAAAGTTTTAAACGAAATAGCACAATGGGTCTAAAATTTACTGACAAGATTTGACTGATCCACAAACAAATAAATGAACAAAACAGACGTTGTGAACAAGTAAAACCGTATAAAACCATTTCATAAATAAAAGTATATATGTATATATATATATATATATATATATATATATATATATATATATATATATATATATATATATTTCTCTTCTGGGAGACGCTAGAAAACAAGCTGTAAGCGCGGTCCCCAAACCACCCCCACCCATACATTGTCTGGTGAGCTGTGGTTCACGCTAAATGTTTACAAGCAGAGCCGGGTTTAGTGACGACTATTAGGGGCAGATAATTTAGTTTGAAACGATTTTAAACGTAGGGGGAGGGGGGGGGGGGGGGGTAACTAAGTTGAGTTTACTTTAACGGAGGGGGGGGGGGGGGAAGAAGGGGGTGGGGGGTTATCGTCCTTAACGAGCTACTAATATTGTTGTTTTAAAGAAATATTTTCAGTGGCAGCGTTGGTACTGTCGAATTCATAAATTATGAATTACTGTAAAGTAGAAAAAAAAACAACAACTAAATAGCGGCGTATGATACGCCGCGAGTCGGCTCGTATAACATAAATAAAATAACACATACTATAAATCCAATGTTTGAGATTGCTATCCTGAGTGTAAAATTACTTCCGCGTGGGATAGGTAGATCTTTCTCCTTTTCGATGCGCATTGTGGAGCTATTGACTTTGGATGTCTTGGTCAGAATTTTTTCATTGAAGTCTGCAGCCAGCTCAAGCGGCAAGGTGGCATTACACGCTTTAGTATTGCAGAGGTTAACGGAGAAGCTGTAGACAAATGTAATCTTGTATTGATATTTAGTCAAGAGACGAAAGATACTAGTATTGGATAGTTCAGGAAAATTAAAGTTGCATTGATTAGAAAATTGTAACCTCTTTACATCCAACATATATATATATATATATATATATATATATATATATATATATATATATATATATATATATATATATATATATATATATATACATATATATGTACATATACATATATATATATATATATATATATATATATATATATATATATATATATATATATATATAAAGCAATGTATGTTTGTGTGTCCTTTATGCATTACTACACCTCTCATCACATCGCCGTGAAACTTTGGGAAGTTGTTGAGAATATTCCTGGGGAGGTTTCTGCGAAAAAAAATATTTCAAATTCGCAGGGGTGGCGCCCCCACAGGGCGCGATTTGTTTTTTTCTATATACGGTATATAAAAATAAAAGTCAATTTTGGTTTGGCATCGTTCATCCTATAGCCATGAGACTTTGGGGAGTTTATTATACCACTCTAGGGAAGGGTTCTGTAAAAAAATAATTTTTAATTTCGCAAGGGCGGCGCCACGGGAGGGTCCGATTTTTCTCTATATACGGTATATAAAAATAAAAGTCGATTTTGGTCTGGCATCGTTCATCCGTTAGCCATGAGACTTTGAGGAGTTCATTACTCTAGGGAAGGGTTCTGTAAAAAAATAATGTTTAATTTCGCAAGGGCGGCGCCACGGGAGGGTCCGAGTTTTCTCTATATGCGGTATATAAAAATAATAAAAGTGAATTGCAGTGACACCGTTCATCCGATAGGCATGAAACTTTGGGGAGTTCATTATAAAACTCTAGGGAATGGTTCTGTAAAAAAATACTTTTAATTTCGCAAGGGCGGCGCCACGGGAAGCTGCGATTTTTCTCTATATACGGTTTATAAAAATAAAAGTCTATTTCGCTTTCACACCGTTCATCCGTGTACCATGAAACTTTGGGGAGATGATTAGATCACTCAATGGTAGGGTTCTGCAAAAAAATGTTTAATATTGCAAAGGCGTCTATACACGGTATATAAAAAATAAAACTCGGATGCGGTTCATCTGAGTGCCATGAAACTTTAGGGAGTAGATGAGAATACTCCCGAGAATTTTTCTGCGAAAAAGAAAACTAAAGTTTCTTATGGGCAGCGCCATATAGGGTACAACTTTCGTCCATACACGGTTTGGCGTGCTGAAATCCTTCTAATACATTTCGTCAAACTTACTTCTATCCCCGCGGCAACGCGCGGGGGACGGGTACGCTAGTATATATATATATTTTTATGTGTGTGTGTATGTATGAGTGTATTTGTGTGTGTGCGTGTGTGTCTTATTCAAATATATCAAAAGCTTTTATTTAACTTCCTTCCTCGTCAGTCTGTCTGTCTGTCTGTCTAGATCGAAACGGCCGTGTGAAATTGCAGGCACTTGTAACTAACAGATACGGTTAGTAATTGGTACGTGGGTCAAGACATGAAGACAATGCATCGTGACATTCAATTTGACTTAATTGGTGGTCTAATTAATTTTCTAATGAATTAATTAAAATTTGGACCTAATTAGTAGGCAGTTCTATCCACACGCGTCATCACGGCCATGTTGGGCGTGGAGCGAGTGGGGGGGGGGGGGGGGGGGCTCTACGTCAAAAGCTCGTCATCACGTTCAATATGCGCGCGATGGTTTTTAGTCGGGTCAGCAGTCTCGTTCTTTATCACTAGACTGCGTCATCCCATAATATTTCACTGAAACTTTAGCTATAAACTTGACAATGGTTTTAGCCATGTAACTATTGTAAATAAAACATGTAAAGTACTGAAAAAAAAACCAACAGAAAAAAACGTTTTAATAACAAGCTATTGGATACCTTTATTAATATTTGAGAAGAGACCCACGCTTTTCTTTATAGTTATTTAAATAGTAGTCTATAATTTATTTTCTACTTTTTAGTGCACTATTACATTAAAGCTTGTTATTTATACGTTCTTTTATGAATTTTTTTTATCTCTGCTCATCCGCGCTTGACTCATGACTCATCTCGCTTCTGTTTGGTTACTTTTTAGAACTAACTGACCAATGGCCACCATACCTAAATTGTACATTGCTCCTGTCGTTGACCTACTTATGGTGTTGCCTGAACTTGCGTCATCCCACATTTTATAAATATTTGAATCTCAACCTCAAATGTGAAGTTCCAATTTTAGTTATATTTAATCTTTTAATACTCTGATAATGATACATAACTTAGTTGTTGAAATCGTCATTTCAACCATACCTTTTATACAGCGGCGTAGCGAGGTCGGGTGTCACCCGGTGTGGCACTTAATGGTGTCACCCCCCAGAGGCGTATCGACCCTTCCCTGGGACAAACTTTGAGTTTTCGATTTGCACCCCCCACCCCCTCACTCTTTCGATTTGCACTCGAATTAATCACTTAATTACTTAGTTCAGTGGAATTATCATTTTCTCTATATATTTTGCAATTTTTTGCCTTGGTGTCACCCGCTAAATGGTGTCACCCGGTGCGGTCCTCACCCCCCGCCCCCCCCCCCCCCCCCCCCCTCGCTACGCCTCTGTTTTTCTATCATATCATTTTAGTGATACTAGTTTAAAAATAATTGAAATTAAGTTTCTCAACAAAATACAAAATTAACGATGTTGTAACTCACGATTTGGAACCTGTTGGGATGGAACCTTCGATGATAATGTCTTTGGTCATATAATCGGGAAAAAGAATTTCATCTACATATGGTAACAGATACTGGAATGCATATGAATAAGGTTAATTATTTGTTACATAGAAGTTTATAAGGCAGATACATTTCAAAACACATGTATAGGGTAACCATAGTATCTAAATGTAATGTGGCCATTATAATTCAAGAAAATAATTAAGTTTACTAATTTATTTTATATCTACTTGTTTGTAGGTAATTTTTGTATAGTGAATTGTATGCATGTATAGTAATATATATATATTGTATGTTTATGGAAGTATATATATATATATATATATATATATATATATATATGTATGTATTTATATAATTGCATGAATATATATATATATATATATATATATATATATATATATATATATATATATCGCTCTAGGCATCTATGTGTTTATAGTTCAATACATTTTTAGATGTTGCTTAATTGATTACATAATATTATTTTTAAATATGAAAAACATTTACTCCTTGAGGAGTTCTTGTAGTAAACTTCGTGCTGGTCGCTTCATCACTTCCAACATATCGAGGACTGATCGTGTCATGTATGGCGTCTACACCCAACCAACAAATGATGGTTGTCAGAGAAACAACAACCCAGGCATGGTGCCCCGACATCGTAACCGGGATTTGAACCCTTACAACTTTCAAAGCAATGAAACAAGTATTTTTAAAATGGTATACGTATGTGTGACATGTCGAATTTAAGGTTTATACGGTATGATTTCACGTAAAACTTAATTATGTTGGAGGAAATATCCCGTCTATAATTACATTTAAGTAGAAGGAGGAAAATAAACAAAGTTTAGTTTGGTTTAAGTTTAAGCCTTACTTACTTTGTAAGTTTACTGTCTCAGTAACCTTATGAATATCCAATCTTCTTCTTCTTCTTCGTTCTTAATTATTAGTGTAGAAGGGGATCGAGATTTATCTGCCAGTGGGTTTGAACTCGAGACTGTGTTCGAATTTATCAACCATGAGCTTTTTGCCGACTCGATCACGCCTCCATTACAATTAAGCGTTACGTGTCAACTGGTTATGCGCCATTGAGGCCATTGACTCCGATTTCAGCCTGCTTTTCTTTTTGGATTTGCTCCCATAGCCTTTGTCCAACCAAGAACAAACTACAAGGCAGCAGTTGTTTTAATTTTGGAGTTGTCTCTCCTAGAAGAGTGGCTGTCCCCAGTTAACGAGCCTCATCTGCCCGAGGGTTCGAACTCGAGACTTTTCGGTTTAGCAACCATGAGTTTTACCGACTCGACCACGCCGACCCCCTGAAGATCCAATGATTATGTTAAAAAATGTTTAAGCCGTACTTACTTAGTAAGTTTACTGTCTCAGTAACCTTGTGAAGATCTAACGACTATGTCAAAAGGAAGGCGCATATCGTGACTATATGTGAAATGTTGATGTGGTATATCACGTGGCAATAACGTGGCGTATCACGTGATTTCTAATCCGTTAAACGGTTAATATCTCCACAGATGGTGACAGTTCTATAAAACAGTTTAACTTAAACCAGGGGCGTGTCCAGGCTAGTGTTACAAATTTTTTACTACAATGAGAAGACACGTATTAATACTTAAACATGCTCTGTTTTTCCCAATACATTTTTCCTTTAAAGAAGGTATTTTGTTGTTTTTAAATGTTAAAAAACATTTCAAATAGATACCTACGTAAATACATCCCAATACACGCTCCTGAAATCTTAGTTGAATTTACTTGAAAAAAAATCAATAAAATAAAGTTAAAAGAACTATAGTTTCTGACGGAAAGAAAATTAAAATACTAAACTGGGGTTAATGGCGTGTTTTTTTTTTAAATCTGAGAACTAGATAACAAGCTACACAAAACAATAATGAACAAAGTACCTCATATTAAAACACAACACACAATATCAGTGAATGCTTTACTCAAGATAACTTATCGAAACACAGAAAACAACATTAAACACAATAATAACATCATTCACAATACTAAGCACAAAACTTAACACATTACTCTCTACAACTCACAAACAATAGCAGCCCATCACACAGCACCAAACACAGAGTCAAACATTAAACACAACACTGAACACATCAAGTACAACACACCACAGATCTATAAGCACTACACCCGACACAACACACAATACACCCTTAAAATCTTCACTCAATTCGACACATAAAAATGCATTACACAACATTGAAAGAATCACAGCAACACTTAACATACACATAACTCAAAACTCAACATAACAATAAATATAATGTTTACCGCAAAATTAACTTTAAAAAAACGCTATTGTTTTATAATTCTTGTAAACAAATTAAATTTAAATATCGTATTTTGACTTTAATTTATTGTATTAAAACATTTTGCTAAGGATCATAATACATAGAAAATATTCGACCAAATTAGTTTTGTGTTCTAGTTTACTAATTCAGTATCATCCTAATATTTTTCGTCTTCGGGCCCAAATCACACCAGGCAGATAAAGTTCATCGTTTTCAATGACCTAGGTAAGGGAAGGAAAGTGTGGTGAGTTTTATGCCTAGTTGTCTTAGTACACAATAGAGCTGGATTTACTCCGAGACGCCCTTCAGACTCGAGTGCGGGACCCGAAATTGAAACATTCGGATCAGCAATTGAAAGCTCTACCATGGGACCACGCCGTACCCTCTACCTAAAGTTTATTACCGTGATGTGTCAGTATAGTATTACAAATTCTTCCGACAGTTACGAATGGTGGGTGATGAGAACGTTTAAACGAGAATTACCACATTCAGAACAACGAACGTAACACCACAACCCATCCCATCCCACATCACATCGCACATACCATAACTCATTCCAAACATCAAAACTTACATTCTATTGCGCATTTATTTACAAATTAATTCAATGAAAAAATATGGTATGTTTTTATTTTGATGAATTTCATTTATTTATCACAGCATAAAACATCAGTGTATAGAATTTAGTAATGAAGGGTAATTCGTGATTTTATGTGCCTTACTTTGTTTATTTGTGAGGTACGTTAAATAAGAATATTAAAATTAATATCATAAAACAAGACAATTTCGTTTGTGATTTTTACAAATGAATCCATATTCTTATGTGTGTGTGCAGTTAGATTTAGATTATAAATTTGGTGATTATAACGTTGATGACCATAGCAGTTTTGTATTTTAAAGATAGCTTCTGTGGGATAAATATAAACTTGGGTGTGGTGGTGCGACTTTGCAAGCTGTTGTGTATTTTTTGAGTATTTATGTGGGACGTTTTTAACGATGTTGTATATTTACGTGACGCTTTTAGTGATGGTGGTGTTACCTCCCTTTAGAACTTTGTATAACTATAGGGCGGGGGGCGTCTTTTATGATCTGTGTATATCATTAACGGACGTCTTGGATTGAGTTTGTGTACAGTGTTGTTAAAATCTCAAAGAGACGTGCATTATGTTATGACATTTTTGGAATGACGTACATAATGTATGGATGTCCTGTAATGACCGTGTATTGTTAAGGGACGTTTTACAATTATTTGTCTTGTGAAGAGACGTCATGTAATGACGTATATTGTGGAGGGACTTCTTCTAACGATGTATTTTGTAAAATGACGTTTTGTAACAACGGGTCTTGGGGAGGGACGTCTTGTAATGACGTATATTGTGGAGGGACCTCTTGCACGGAAGAGTACGGTGGAGGTACATCATGTATATGCGCATATTGTGGAGTTACATTTTGTAATGACGTGTTTTGCAAAACTTCGTGTAGAGACGAATATTGTGGAGGCGCGTCTTGAAATGGCGTGTACTCTGGAGGAACGTCTTGAAATGACGTGTACTGTAAAGGGACATCTTGTAATGACGTGTACTGTTGAGTATTCTGAAGTGATGTTGAGCACGATGGTGAGACAGCACTTGAGTAGAGCGAAGAATAAGACGGTGGTTCAAGGACAGGAAGGTCCTGCTGGGTATTTAGATTTGGCTGAGCAGCATAGGCGTGGGCTCTAGCAAGTACGTTTTGCACGTTCGCTCTTTGAGCACGTCTTATTTTTCTTCTTTTAATTATCACACATACTGTTGATAACACCACACACACTACGATCCACAATACTGTTGTGAATGACACGATTAAAGCAAGATGGCTGCCATCCGATAATGGTTCTGTTGATTGGGTTGTGATGTCATTCCCTGAAAAAAAAATCGCATTTTTTAAAATGAAATTTACTGTTTAAGGTGCGCTTTATTTTTAGTGTTTTCATGACGGTTTTATCTAACCTATTTTTTTAAATTTAATTTTATTTTAAATTTCAGTCACTCATACATCAAAAACATTTATTCGGGCCTATTTAGAGTTGTCTCTCCTAGAATACTGTCTGCCCCCATCTAACGAGCCTAATCTACCCGAGGGTTCGAACTCGAGGCTTTTCGGTTTTACCAACTCGACCCCCCCCCCTTTATATTTCAAATCAACATATTAAATCAATTATTATAATTATTTTTCTCATCGGCAAAAATCAATTTGAATAAATAAAACCCGAACGCCAATTTTGAGAGCAACCAAAACCTTACCAACAAAATCCAATTCGCAGCTGTCAACCTCCTCGCCCTTGCCGTCTAAACATGAGAGCTTGAGCATATCATTCTTGATATTTCGTACTGTCAAGACGCCTTCATATTGAATACTTTCTGATGATTGTGATAAGGCATAGTCGCACGTCGCGAGAAACTTATCTAAAGGGGGATAAATAAAAAATAAGTTTCCAAAAATGGTGATAAAACACGAATTTGCTGTTTTTTTTTAAATTGGTGATAAATCAAAAATTAGTTTTTAAATGGTGATAAAACGAGAATTAGTTTTTAAAATTAGGACACATCAAGAATTAGTTTTTAAAATGGTGATAAATCAAGAATACATTTTTAAATAGATTTAAGAACAAATTTTTATCAGTAAGTCAAAATAACAAAGGGATTCAATAGGCTGTATGCCAATTTTATCCATTTTATCACACGTTCTTACTCTATTTTAGAAGAGGGCGCTTGGGTTTTGGTTTGTTAAATTACAATCATTTGGTTATTTGAATGTAACCGTAGTCTGCTGTGACTGTGTGTGTAGGACAATAACGTAGTATTATGTGCAAACAATTTATAATTTATTTTTATTTTTAAAAGGTTGGTGTCTTATATTAATTTATTATATTTTATTATTAATATTGTTCTTTTTTATCAGAAGTTACCGTTTGTTTGCGACTATTTATTTGATTGCAGCGTGACAGTTCCTTTACATCTGGGTTTTTTTTCTTCTTCACACATAATTTGCGAGACAAGTTCTATCACTTCGATTTGGCTCAATATATTAAATACTTTTTCGTTTTATAATACTCGAAGACTATAACCAATACTTGTTAAAGGTCGAAAGGTGAGCTTGCCGATAAAGAGACAGTCTTTTCTCATTAAGTGGACGAAACCACATCAAAGGGGGATTGCTCATCTGTTTAGGGAAGGTCCACGAAAACGCACCGTCGTAACAATGCAACTTAATCTAATGTCAGTAGTTATATTTTGATCGTACGCAATTGATTAGGTGGAAATGCTTTTTAAAACATCAAGTGGTCATTTTGGAGCAAATTGTATCATATTGTGCACGCTAACTAAGCAGTTAGAGTGGTGATTACGCAGCTAAAGCCTCTTGCGTTTTATACGAGCTTTTAAAATGTTAAAAATGCTGATTAGCAAAAATGGAAAGAAAAAAAGGCTATTACAATAAATATCAAATGTTGAAATCGACTAAAAACAACATATATATATATATATATATATATATATATATATATATATATATATATAGTGACATATTTTGTCTGAGATATGTTGTCTCAGATCATTTGTCCATGATATCGTTTGTTATGACATTTTTTTTTTCCTGAGCTATGATCTCCTAGGTTCATTTCTTCATAGGATTATTAGTCTTGGATATTTTGTCTGAGATCAATTTTCCTGTCACCGAATTTCACGCATGTTCATTTCTCAACCTTTTATAGTTGCATATTTCCACTTACATTGCCTTTTAGATGCTTACTTGTTATTTTTTTTCTTTCAAGACTACGCTAGATAGATAGATTTTTTTTCGTCCTCTTTTAGTATGTATGGCGTGGTTAAAGGTTTAGTACAGTAGTGTTGTTTGATTTAGAACACGGAATAGATGTGTTTTTTTTTTAAAGACTTGTTCAACACGTGTATAACGTAAAATAATGATTCGTTTATTATCTTCCTTATTTTTGATATAGATCAAGATTAGGTGTTAACCAATGTTTACCAGTGTTGCACTGAAGCTCGGGAGAATATAGCCTGTTAATGTATATTAGTTCATAGCCCTCCAAACCCCTACCCATCCCTTTAAGGTTTAGTTTAACTTGATTACTCCATCACGATCGCGCCATCATTAAAGGCGGTCACACGTAATCTCTACAAGCTGTCTATATTGGCACGTCAGTACAACACGGCAGGGGCGTAGCGAGGGGGGGGGGGGGGCGGGGGGTGCGGACCGCACCGGGTGACACCATTTAGGGGGGTGACACCAAGGCAAAAAATAGCAAAATATATAGAGAAAAACTCGAGGGGGGGGGGGTGCAAATCGAAAGTTTGTGGGGGGGGGGGGTGCAAATCGAAAACTTGAAAGTTTGTCCCTGGGAAGGGTCTCTATGCCTCTGGGGGGGGGGTGACACCATTAAGTGCCGCACCGGGTGACACCCGACCTCGCTACGCCACTGCAACACGGTATACATGTTTACAACACGGTGTACATGTTTACAACACAGTGTACATGTTTACAACACGGTGTACATGTTTACAACACAATGTACATGTTTACAAATCGGTGTACATGTTAACAACACGGCGTACACGTTTACAAAACCAAACGGTGTACATGTTTACAAAACGGTGTACATTTTTACAACACAATGTACATGTTTACAACACAATGCACATGTTTACAAACGGTGTACATGTTTACAACACAATGTACATTTTTACAACACAATGTACATGTTTACAACACGGTGTACATGTTTACAACACGGTGTACATGTTTACAACACGGTGTACAAGTTACAACACAGTGTGCCTCTACAACACATAGCCTTACCTGTGTAGCCATACATTGAACATATATGGCTGATGTCACAATCGCAGATGTTTATAATTTTATCTGCGACTGTTGTTATAATCCATTGAATATTGGGTGGTACACTAGTTCTACACGTAAAGGTGCTTCCTTCTGTTACAGTGTATTTCTTTGCATCACAATACAGAGCTAGGATAATTTTAAAATAAGCAACGGTATATTTTTATTACTTGATTTATAGTGGAATTTTAAAATTAAACTTAACACACTTTTTAAACTACTCAAAAATTCATCAACAAAACAATAATAACAATTACTCAAAGAAAATACTATCAAGCTTTGTCTACTCGGATTTTTTTTTTATCTGCAGTCGTTGAATGCGTTTAATATTAATCTGTAGTCGATACAGAGGCGTCGCGAGGCGAGGACGGGGTGGTGCGGACCGCACGGGGTGGCACCATTTATAGGGGTGACACATAAAATATAAAAAATTAATAGAAGAAAATGCTTTTTGCTAGTTCAATTGAAAATGAATTAGAGTTTTAAAAAATATTTTAAGCTCAAATTGGCTATCCCGACAATTTCGAGGGGGGGGGGGGGGTGAAGCCATGACGTAAAGATGCTAACTATAGAGAAAACAAAATGCTACATGAAGCCTTATTAACAACTGACAATGGATAAACATTGTTACTATTAACTTCGCACACTTTAAACCTATCACATGAGGGGTGGGGTGGGGAAATAAAACAGAGGAAATAAAACTAATGTTGAATATTTTTAGTACCTAATAAGTCAGCCAACGACTGGGTGGGGTGACACTATAAGGTGCCGCACCGGGTGACACCCGACCTAGCGACGCCACTGAGTCGATGGATTAAGCTTTAAATCGACTTGATCAATTTAACTAAAATTAACGCTTAATCTATCGACTACATTTGACTATTGTATCTGTGGTTTGCAGACTTTATTTACTGAAGACTACATCAGGTTTCCACCGATCTTAAAATCTGAGATCTTGTAGAATGTAAAAATACCTGAGACTTTTGATAAGCTGTACGCATTCATACGTGTAATCTAAACTCTATCCAATCTTATTTTCATTTGTTTTTATTTTTATCATGCGACGATTTATCCCTAGCCATGTTTTACTTTTATTTTGTTGAATTACTTGTTCGAGATCTTATTATCTTTTAAAATTTGATATACTTTTTTTTTACTATTAAATAACTACTTACGGCAATTTACTTAGCGAAACTTATGTAAGAAAGTTATGCAACGAGGACTAATACTAATTCTAATTGATACTATAGAAAACAAACATAAATCTTGGCCTTCCAAAACTTAACTTACTTCAAAGTAGGCGTGCTTTATCTTACCACCAATCAGTAATTTATTAAAAGAGATTTTTTTTATAACTGTTGGCTTGTATAAAGATTATACTACCATTAAAATATATCTAAATAAATGTAAGTTTACCTATGCATGTAATCCAAATCAAGGGCCCAAAGAGTTTCATTTGTTGTTAATTTCTACAGCAGTCGAGCAACCATTAGGTGTGTAGCTCGTGTGTCGTTATGACATTGTTGTCGTGTGTCACATGTCACTGTGGCATAGACGACGTCATTTAAGGCCTGGGTGGGCTTCCAACTATAAGATACAGGTCATTAAAAAGAAAATCAATTACATACCATTTTTAAAAAGCACAATCCCTTCAGCACTACTAACCTAAATGCCCTTATTCATTTGTGTTTCGACCTATTCAGTAATTTATAAAATTAAAATAAATGCAGTTAAATAATAGTATTACATTAGCAGAAGTAATAGAATAGTAATATTTTGACAGGGTAGGTTGTTAAACCAAAATGTGTGAACATTATTAATAAGAGTTGTAATAATTTAAAGCATAATATATAATAGAAATATTTTAACAAGTCAGTTTATTATATTAATTTCGTAATAGATACAAATTTAAAAAAGATTAGTACAGTAACATATGAATTAATCCCCAGTCATATATCATAATTAAATCATTTCATGAAATATAAATTGATAATTAGATCAAGCATTCAACAAATACACAATAAATCTAGCTAAATATTACATCCTACGTGAGATAATTCACATGTCGATAACTTACCTGTGTACCTTACCTGTGTACGTTTACCTTACTACACAGCACACCTGTGCTACATTGCCAGATTTTTGTCCAGGATCTGTGCAAAAGTTGGCAGTGTAGATTATATCTCACTACGTCAAACTACCCAACCGTGTCTTGTTGCCGTGTACACCCGTGTCACATAATGTCCGTGTGTTGTGTTACACACAGTTGGCACTGTCGTGATAAATAATAGAAGCTAACACAGGGTAGAGAAGCGAACTTTGGTATGCGATACTTGAACTTGGTTAGTGCAGAAAGGAATAATACCCTACAGATAACTAGAATGTCAAGGAAATATTGGATCTATATTGGAGCAGAGCACTTTCAATGCAGATTCTTGCTTTTACCTATTTTATAGCATGTTATCTTGTATCTGATTTTGTATTCGTAAATCTAATCCATTCTCACTGGTTTAAATACAATACTGAATTTATATTGCTAAATTATGTTTTGGGTTCTTAAACATTAATTGTTTCATATTGTTTCATTATAGAACTAGATGAAAAATATGAACGTGTATAATGCAAACTAAAATTTGCAATAAAATAATTTATTAACGTGTTCACCCCCCCCCCACCCCACATTTCAAACATATATTTATGTA